ACATGCGAAGATCTTTTCAAGGGCTGATACTGTTCTGCTGCTAGAAGGTGGTGTAACTTGTACTACCTCCAGCCATTTTGAATAAGAGTCCACAAGAACCAAGTAGTATATACCCTCTATCGGCCCAGCAAAATCCACATGTAGGCGGGACCATGGTTTTGACGTGGGCCATGCTCTCGGTAGCTCCCGCGGCGGATCTTTGGCTGCCATGACAGACATCACCTTCAGTTTTTGAGCAGAGCCCGTCTTACTGGAGCTAACAGTTGCTGCTTTGTTGCTACCAGACATCCAAGCACTTTTGGCGTAGCCATACTCCTTATGACGAATCGAAGTTGGTGTTTCATTAATCACGTCATTCTTTATATTGGGTTTAGGTCTAATATATCTGTCTCTTATTTCAGGCTTTCTTGTTGAGGGCTCAATACTTTCGATCTTATGGCATACACTGCTTAACGGAATCTCTGACAGGTGCAGCTTCTCAAACCAGTCTAAACCCAAGAGGTCAAGGTTTGAATTATTGATGTAGCATGTGCCGACGAAATGACTATCGCGAAAACCAACGCTACATTTAATTTCTCTATTCAATCGAAGTCTTCCACCACATGCACTAAATGCTATCTGGTTTGTCTTCTCTATGGCAGGGCATCCCAACTTCTGCCATAATTTCTTTGATATGATTGTAATATCGGATGCTGTGTCGATTTGTAGGCGTGCCGGCCGTGTATTAATCGTCAGATCGATATATTTGCGAGGTGCCGGAGTACTAATATGATATGCGGCAGTAACGCTCAAAGACTTGGGCTTGTAGCGCCGTCTGGGTCGACTACGAGATCTTGGTCGGTTGTTGCGTTTGCATTAGCCATCTTTGTGACCAACAGTATGGCATCTACAGCATTTATGCTGTTTGAATGGGCACAAGGTTGCAAAATGCCAGGAGCCACAGTGCCAGCAGGCTGGTGGTGGTTTACGCTGAGGATGAAGCGGTGCGGTTGATGTCAACGGTACTGGATGCACCGCATGCACTTCTGCTGAGTTTTGGCTACCAGACTGCACCAAGACGGTATCGTTATGAATGTTGATTAAACGCTGATATTCTTCACCGACGTCTTTCAAGTCATTCGTGGATCTTGTTCCAGACGATTCAATAGGCATGTGCGTATGTCAGCGAATTTGAAAATCAATACCTTGAACTGGTCTTCTGAGACCGATTTCAATTTAAAACGCTCACACGTGCGATTGACTATACCCAACTGAGTATGGATATCATCATTTTCGTTCAGAACTAGTTTCATGCAGTGATATCAAATGTTGAATAAAGATCTCTGATCACCAAACTGATAATGAAGGGTATGGACAGTTTCAACGAATGATCTTTCGCTGGGCTTCTTTGGGAGAATTAAGTTGCAATATTTATCTAGCTCATCTGCTCCCAATTTACGAAGTAGAAGCTGTACTTTCCAGGCATCACCTTTATCCGCAAAGTCTACTCGAAATAGGTCTTCATATCTGCGAAACCAGGTATCAAAAGTCACGTTCGCATCTGGATCATAAACGAATTCTGAGATGCTACTACGAATGCTGTCGTTGGCTGTAGATGAATCGGCAGGGCGTGATATCTGTAGACCAGCAAGCATTTCCATCAATTTTAGCTGCTGTTCCATTAGTTTCTCTAAACGCAGTGAGTCAATCTTGAGCGAACCCGTCACCAAATTTGTTATGTATGAATATGAGGACCTTGTAGACTACGAGCGAATCTAACTTAATGCGCTGGCTAATCTGTCCTAGTCGCACGTCAACAACAATACCGAACCACACCACTGGCAGAACAGAAGGAAAGCCCTGCAGAACTTCTGATGGGTCGAATGCTACGAACTTATCACCAATGAACATTTTAAGTCAGTCGCTGATGAGATAGAAGTGTTTATTCCTCAAATCTGGATTTAATTCATATTTTGGACATGAAATAGTCAATCAGAACAATTTGTTCTCCTCTAATCTAGCTCTGAGAACGATGATGCTCAGGAAGGCTTCGCGTGCTCTTGGAAGTATCTGGGCGATTGTTACTTCCCAGCTGCCCACAACGTGTAAGTTGATTGATTCTTTGGGTACCTGAAACAGAGAGAAGGCTAGTGTTGCGTGGCCGCAGAGTCCAGGGGACAACTGCTTGATGTCGGTCACACACGGCCTGTATGAACTGGTTTGAGGGATTGGTTCAGTATTAGTAAATTTACCGCCGGTTACCGACCACCGTAGGGTAAGTCAGGATGTACAATTTTTGGGGTCGACCTTTTCTAACCCCCTCTCTCCATAGCGGAGAGACAGCAAAAGCATAACTAGCATTCTGGTTATCTAAGGGAAACACCTTACTGCTGTTACATCCTTGTTCCCCAGCAGTACTACTCTGCCCACAGACCCCCAGCATAGTGTAACCGCTTTTAGTCTAATCTCTATCCTAACAACCTTCCTGGCATGGTAGGACCTGCAGGAACAATAGTTCCAGCCAGTGTAGCTTACTGGGTCATTGCGATATACAAGCCCGACCACCACGTCAAGGTAGCAGCTAGCGGTCAAGTGACCTAGCCGAACTTTAATGTGGCTATGAAAATGTATAAATATGATGTGTTCTTCCCGAATAAAAGTCTGTTCTCAATTCTCTTTATCTTCTACCGTTACACATGCATACTTCTACTACCGACCATATTGGATTCCCTGTTCAACAGTATTATAAACCTAACAATTACACATACTGTATTCACTACCTATTCTCTAAACTTTCGCATTCCTTCGCATTCCCAGTTGAACATAGGACTTCAAAAGCTTGACCTTTAAAGTTTCAGCAGCAGCAACAGTGATGATGACTTTTCACACAGTGGGGTGTGTGGGGGTTGCCAGCCTCACGTCCAACCTTCCCTCTTCACTTGATTTACTACAAGTCTAAGAGAAATCGAGGAGTATGTCAGCTAAAAATCGAACCCGGACCACTTACAGCGTAGTTGGCAGGAATTCTATCAATGAATCACTACTGACGCAACCTACTATTCCTTGATATAAGTATAAAACTTGAGCACTGTGGTAGAGTGTAACTCCATTATGGATAAGATTTTATTTTCATAAATCACACAGTGTTACACAGTAATATTAACTGATGACGTTTCGAGCACAAATTATTGCTCATAACCATATCAAGTTACTCACACAACTTTTTCCTTCATTTATATATATGTATGGGATTGACTAGATATTTGAATAAAAATCAATATGAGTGTTATTGGTCAATTACAATCAGATGGGAAACAAGACGAGTGTTTTATAGTCATAATAAGTAACTTGTTAGGATGTTGTGATGTGCTTGAAATGAAATAGAATTTTGAGATTATTTATTATCCTCTTCTGATTTAACTGGCGGTAATAATATCTTCCAAATTTCCGGTATTCGCATTGAGTCATTTCTGTTGCATGTGTTGGGTGTAGATTCAATGAACCAGGATTCAGTAATCAATCTCTCTCTCCACCTACATAGATAACTTCTTAGAATCTTAACTCTCTCCCACCCTACTGTGTGGCTGTGTGTTATAGCATGTAGTGCAGTTGCTGAGCTTTTTTCTAAATGACTTATCTTCACGGGTGGGGTCAACCATTCTTACCTTGGCTAAATTCTTATGTTCCGACAATCTGATTACCCCCGATCTACTAGTTTGACCTATATAGTTGACCTCACAGTCATTACAAGGTATTTTGTAAATTATATTTTTTGTTTAATTGGGTCCACCGGGTCTTTTAGTCTACAGAGCTTGTCTCTGAGTGAGTTTGTAGGTTTGAATGCCACCCTAATTCCTGCTTTATTTAGAATCCTACGTAGGGTCTCAGATGTCCCCTCCTTATATGGTATAACAGTAGATGCCTTATATTCTCTCTTATTTATGTTATCATTATTAGTTTCACTATTATTTTTATTTTGACCTTTTTTGATGTTCCTAATGAATTTTATAGGATAGTTAGTTATGTAACACCAACGCCTCTTCTATCTGTTTTATTTCATCATTTAGGTCTTTTCTTGTGCTACTTAGAGCTACTGCTCGGTTTGTTAAACACTTAACTAAGCCTGCCTTAACAGTTAAAGGATGAGATGAATTAAAGTCTAAATATCTATTAGAATGCGTTGGTTTTTTATAAACACTAGTATGTAGTTTTACGAGTTGATCACGGACTGATATCAGTTAGAGAACCATTGAAAACCAGGGAGTACTGGACAGCTGCTGTTTCATCCTAGTTTGGGAATCATCGGCAGTACACACTCTAACTGATATCAGTCCGTGATCAACTCGTAAAACATAACTAATCCTTACAAATCAAACTATAGAAAATTATTCTGATGCTCGCTAGTGACTTGCTACAGGTTGGAGCTTCCTGTAGTTCTAGTGAGCAGTCGTGACCAGTGAGGTCCAATGAGATGTCACGTGTGTGGATGGATGTCCCACCAACGACAATGGTTGGGGTCGCGCTAAATCACGAATTGGTAGAAGTTAGAATTCATGGGCTGGCCATTGAATCGGGTCCCAGTGGCTGAATGGTATACGAGCTTGCCTTGTAACCGGAAGGTCCTGGGTTCGAATCCCAGTGGTTGCGTACTGCCGATGATTCCCAAACTAGGATGAAACAGCAGCTGTCCAGTACTCCCTGGTTTTCAATGGTTCTCTAACTGATATCAGTCCGTGATCAACTCGTAAAACATAACTAATCCTTACAAATCAAACTATAGAAAGTATGTAGTTTACCTTCTTCTATTCGCTTTATTTTACAATCTAACATAGCTAATTCTCCTTGTTCATTTTCTGATTCAAATGTGATTATGAGCAATAATTTGTGCTCGAAACGTCATCAGTTAATATTACTGTGTAACACTGTGTGATTTATGAAAATAAAATCTTATCCATAATGGAGCTACTATTCCTTGAACAGTAAAAGAAAAAGGCACACGATGAAGACATACAATGATGTATGTATTTTTTTATGTTGATAAAACCAGATAAAGGAAACAAATATTTATATGTATATATAGTAAAATAACTAAAGCAAAACAAAGTAATGCAAAGAAGAAAATAATAGAATTTCATGCATATGTGTATATGTATATATCAAAAGCAATGATAATAATAAATAATAATAATAGTTTAGAAATTTTAAAATAGGATAAACCACAGAATGTTCTTATATTTAACACTTTACTCATCAACAAAAGTAGGTGTCTTTTGATCATGAAAAATGATGACTGTGATGATGATGATGACGCGACGTGGTATCAAATCATGGAGGCAATCATGCCGACACAGATGTTGGTGTGAACAAGATAAGAGGCGTATGATAATAAATGCGAAACCAAAACAGCAACAACAAAATAAAATAGAATGAGATTAAGGAAAAGCTGAAATATAGTCGAATATGATTTTGTTTTGTTTCTTGATGCTTTAAAATAAGCCCCCTCCACCCTAACTACAATGAGTAAGAGTATTAGATGAATGCGTAATTAAATGATCATGAAACTTTTTATCTGCCTGTTTGTTTGTTTTGTTTCTTACAAATGCAAATATACACCTATGTTTGTATGTATGTATGTTGAAATAGATAAATTTTTGAGAAAAAATGTCATGATAGTGTGATAGAAATTTCCAGAAAGGAAATCATTTTGAAGGTCTTTCTTTTTCACAGTGATATTTTGTTGTTGTTGTTGTTGGCGTTGCCATTGGTAACAAGACAAGAAAGTATTTGTTTCAAGGCGGTTCACCTAAACTAAACAACATGAATGTATCCAGTGATTTCTTGTCAATCAGATTGTTTAATAAAGTTGTAACAGTTGATTGAAATAGTTCAGAGATTGTATTGTGATGATACTGTGGTGTGGTGTGGTATAAATTTGAATAAATATCAAGGAGATGTAAATATAAAACAAAAGGTGTCTTCATATTTCTAACTTAACAAATTTTTCATTCCCAAGGGATTCCGGAGAGTGTGTAGACGACAAACAGAATGATGTACTTCTCTGAAGAAGAAAAAAAGCAAAGTGGAAGTGATTTCATTAGTATTTTCTTCTCAGTTGAGAGGATATTTTAAGTGTAATAACAATTATGTATTGCTTAACAGGGATAGCAGTAATTTAATGAAGGCTGCATTTACTGTTAAAATACTTCAATCTTGAATAAACACCAAATGATTCCAACTTATTAGGTGAATTACAAGGTCACTCACTCCCCATGTGAATTCTGGGACTTAAAAAGAGTCCTAAATTATCATGATAATGCAAACCACAGTCCCTAAACCTTATTGGTCTCATATAAAGACGTTGACAAAATGCAACGTCTTCCGAAAACCTAAGGGGAAACAATCTTGGATTCGCTCCCTCTGTCAAGTGTAAGATGGCATTGACTCTTAGCTTAAAGATAGGTAGGAGTGAAGTGGGGACTGAGCGTGTTGACCACCTCACTTATATGGGAAGTTGCATCAGCCAGTGCCAATGGGTTGACAGATGACGAAATCTCATCACGGATATAGAAGGCTAGTTTGGCATGTGCCAACTTACTCCCCGTCTGACATAGACGTGATATTCGGTTGGTTGCCGACCAAAGGACGTGTGTACTGCTCAGCAGTTCGCTCCGTCTTCCTTTATGGCTGTGACCGAGACATGGCCATTGAAAGTGGAAGATATGAAAAGGCCGGCTAGCTTTCTTTGACCATAGGTGCCTGTGTTCTATCTCCTGTGTGAAGTGGTATAATAGGGTGAGTAGTACTGAGGTTAGGTGTTGAGTGTTAGGTTAGAAGGGGAAATCAATCAACCAGGTGGTGAAGTTACACCGTTCGAGATGGTTAGGGAATGTGTTACGCATACCTAGCCATTGCCTTCCTCGGCCGACGGGCGATGTTAGCTGACATGGGACCGATGAGGTTGGAAAACAGTTAGCTAGTGGTCAAACCAAAACACAGCCTCATCAGTCAATCAAATCCACAGTAGTTAGTTTAAGCCGGTCACGTAAGGAGGTGTAGACTTCTTGAATGGTTAGCGTCCTCAGGATGGTAAAAACCAGTGAATACTAGAGACAATTGGTGATATGGTTCAAAATCGTTATGAATGGCGGGTGCAGATGCATTCAGTCTTTGTGATTTATCATATCCAATAAAATTCTATTGTCTCCCACATTATTATTGTTTTTGTCTCATATTTCTGTTTATTATCTCTCTGTCTTTTGAATCCCTCTTTACTCTCTTCTCTTGCTTTGTGTGCTACATTGAGGGAGACTGGCAACTCAAACTGTTGCACATCTGTGCAAAGTTCCACGTTGAAATCTGCCAGTCAACCAACTCAGGAAATTGGAAATTTGAAACTTGGTATGATCTGTTTTATGCCATAAATGGTAGTCAAGAAAGTAAGCATACCACTGACTGCTTGAAGTGAGCAGTTGTTTACCACTTAAATCAATCAGTAGTGCTTGCTAGCCAGCCAACCGGCCAGATGGAGGTGATTTAAACACCGGACTGCTGTTTCTCTCGTTTGGGGTTGAGTTCATCAGCAGTGTACCCAGTTCGACTCATCTAAGACAGCCGAATCAATTTAAACCATTCCAAAGGATCGAAATGGCCGTCCGGTGTTTAGATGACCTCAATGATCTGGATAGTCAGTAAGAACTACTGATTGATATGAGTGGTATGAGACTACTGGTCTCAATCAATCAGTAGTATATAGTTTCGTTCAGAGTATTTGATTTTAACTGCTATATGGAATTTGTCAAACTGGCTTTGCACTGTAACTGTCAGTAGGGGATAAGTAGTTGAATACTGAAATTACACTTTAAGTAAGACTTTAGTAGGGTTCTCATGTTTTCACTTTAAGAGAGACTAAAATCTGTCTGAGTTTGCCAAACACTTTCGTTTATTGTATATATACTCATAGTTGATAATACGGATGGAGGAGGCGTATTCATTTTTTTAACGATTACTGGGAACAGTAAGAATTCTGAAGTTCTTAGCCTAGGTAGGTGATCAGCAGAAAATCGGATATCTTGGAATTATGCATTTGTTAGTATTCCCTTACAGTATTTTTGTGTAGATGTGATATCCAGCCATCCGTCGACCAAAGAATGTGTATCCTGCGTACCAGTTCACTCTGCCCTCCTTTAGAGCTGTCAGACATGGCTATTGAGAGTGGAAGACACAAAAAAGTCTAGCTGCCTTCGATCACACGTGTCTGCGTTCTATCTCCCATCTTAGGTGGTATAACTGGGTGAGTAACACTGAGATTAGGCGTCGAGTGTTAAGTAAGGAGGGAAAGTCAGTGGATGAGACTGTCAAGCTACATTGATTGAGAGGTTTGAGACACGTGTCACGCATTCCTAGCCATCGCCCTGCTCGACAGTCAATGTTAGCTGACATAGGATGAGGTTAGAAAAGAGCTAGTGATGGTCAAACTGAAACACGGCATCATCAGTAGTCAATGAAATCCTTGACAGTTAGTTTAAGCCGGTCACCTTGCGAGATGTAGACTTCTTGATTGAGGCCCTCGAGATTCCAAGAACCAATGCCTAGAGACAACTGGTAATATGGATCGAAATCGTTCCCGAAGCTGCAGATTCATTCAGTCTCTGTTATCCCCTATATCCACTAAACCATCTTGTTTCCTCCTGATTATAGTCCTTCAGAATTTCTTTTTCTCTCTCTATTTTAACTATGTTTGTCTGCGACATAGAATGCGGCAACTTGAACTGCTACTTTCTGTGTCAAGTTCTATGTTGAAACGAGTCAATCATATGCCTAATCGGGGGAATCTAAAGCAGTGGGACTAATCATTAAAATCCACTGATACAAAAGAAAATGAACTCAATAACTTACTAAATGCTTAGTCAATATAGAATGAACACCGTCTTGTTCATCGTAACACTTCTTTTTATTATCTAAACAATTATGCAGTAATTCTTCTGATAATAAAAGAGATTCAGACAGATTTGTATGATTGGATAACTGATAATTGTACAGTGTAGAATTCTGAGGTACATTTCGATGTGTTAATATACCTGGGATGCTGGATCGTGACAACGACTCGATTAATGTAGAATTATTCTGTTCTGTTAAATCAGTCGATTCGCTAACATTTGTACAGTTAATATTGTTACCATTGTTATCATTATTGTTAGTAGTAGTAGTATCACCATTATTATTATTATCAGTATTATTAGAAGCAGTAAGATTAAAATATGCTGTAGTATAAAAATTTGATGTATTAAAATCATTGCCAAAATTTGTTGTCCCCGTTGCCCCTGTTCTAGTCGTTGATGCAGATGTTGTTGACGTCCCTGTTGTCGTCGTCGGTGTTGGTATTGTTGTTGGCGTCGGTGTTTGCGTAATCTGGGGAAGAATGCATGAATTAAATATCAGCGATTTAGTATTCAAGGAATCATCTGAAATCAAAGCAGTTGTAGTAAATGCTGAGGAACGGTTATCATCTGTACCAGAAATAGGACTTGAAGTGTTCATACTTTGCTGAAGGTGTATCTGATGCGTATGCTGATGATGATTGTGGTGGGGGTTGTGATGCTGATGATGTTGAAGAGCAGGAGGAGGAACTTGAGCTAGATGAGGATGGTGTGCATGAAGATGATGATGATGAGGATGATGTTGCTGTTGGTGTTGATTAACCGGTGATGAAGTTGACAATGACTGGGGTAATTGTTGGACCAATGTATACGGATCAATAAGATCTGAGGGGACCTGCAGTGCATTGTTATTACCGTTATTATCTATAGTCAAGCCTTGATGAGACAGTTCATATAATTGGTCTGTATGTGATAGTTGGCCAGTTCTCATACTAGGATCAATTTCATATGACCAATTAGTATCCATATTATTACCGCCTGTGTTATAAACATATCCACGATTGTTGATGTTATCAGCAGAAGTAGTTGTTGTTGTAGCAGTTGAAGTAGTACTAGTACTAGTCGAGGATAAAATGTAAGCAGCCATATTATGCATAATATTTGTTTGTTGACTGCAGAAATTACGCGATAAATTTGAATTGATCAATTCATTACCTACTGATGCATTCATATGCGATGATGCATTGAAGTATTCTTGATTCAACAGACCAACCGGTTCATCTAGATTCCCTGTACCATTAAATCCCATTGCACCGGTAGATAGTGTAGAATTCGGTTGGGAATCAGTAGAATCACCACTGAATTGATAAGTTTGTTGACATGCGTTCAATAGATTAATTCTTTCACGACTAAAATAGAAACAATGATAAGAATAAAAATGATTATGTTTCATATTAAATAATCCCTTACTTAAATGAAACAAAACTTCACACTGTAATATAGATATGATGGAGAAGATTTGTAGCTCAGGTGGATGATTTTGATGTGGTTGTGTTCTCTGAGCTGGATAGTTGATTTTCGAAGCTTTCATCACCCTACCAGGTGACATCTTCAGCGCATACTTCAATTTGAAGTAAGGTTTTAGATTTCTCCACGAGTTTATTAATCATCTCTCCCGGTGACTTTGGACGTGATTGGTTGTTTTTGTGCGTTTTCACACCTTCTAGGCTACTTGTATTGGAACTGATTGTTTCATTGACTTGATGAAAGCTTCGCAAATCAACTATCCAGCTCAGAGAACACAACCACATCAAAAAAAACACTGTAACATTCTAAAACTTTTATTTAAATGTCAAATAGGGTTACTCAGTTTGGCTTTCTGACCTTCAACTCTAAGTAGTAAATCCAAAAGCAGTGCCATTAATTAATTCAAGCTGTTGTCTGTCTGGGAAATTGCCCGTCGAATTCAAACAGTCTGTTGATTATGAGTAATGGAATCTGTATGCTATCGACTTCTATTAGATATATCTACTTATCGAGTTGTTTTAAGATTGCCTAAAATTGCCAAAGATGTTTCATTCAAGTGTGAACTGTTAGTAAACTAATAAGTACATTAAAGGTTCATTTTTTCGTACTAAAGATTATGAAACTAGGTGTTTATCATAATGGCAAATGAACGTTATATATTCATTTTTCGTTCACTTCTGCAACTCATATAAAGATCCTTGTGCGTAGGATATTGATGATTGATATGAATTACCTTTATCGGCGATTTCGACAAATCTAATCACAAAATCTGAGTACACAATCGGAAAAGCAAGACAGATCTTTACCACTCTGAAATCAGTTCGGAAATCTTCTGCATTTCACTCAGCATAAACAACAAAATTCGGATTTTCAACACCACTGTTAGGTCAGTCAGTTCTCCTAAATGGGTCAGAAACTTGCCTTAGGCGTCACAAAAGCATTTCCAACAACTTTCAGCAGACTTTTATCAATAATTGCCTTCGCTAATTCCATACTGAAGATCAGACGGTCAGACAGATAGAATCAGCAAAAAGAAAAAAAAACAAACCAATGAACCAATCAGCAAATATTCCAGAGGAAGTGGAAACACATATGACACACACAGCTGAATAACATCACACTCCGGGCGGCCTCTCGAGTGGAACCAAAATGGGAAACGACTAGTTGGTCGTTGGTTCAATGGTGACCTAGCGGTGATCGTGTGAGTATGAGATGAGACCTCATAAACAGTCATGACACCAGCTAAAGAGGACTTCAGAGAGCAGGTTGAAATAAAGATGTGCTGCTGAAGCCCTGTATTCCACTCAGAACCCAGGGGAATAATAATACATAATCTACACATCATACCTTGACAACAGTACTAATATCGTGAACTTAAAACAATTACATCACATGCTATAGTTCACATTCTGTGCTTAATTTGTTCCCTCCCTTTTAACGTTATTATAAAGCTGATGAGTTTGATTCCTAACTGTTCTTCAACGTAGTAAGCCATATTATAATATTGTTTATATACATATCTATATATTACTGAGGATACTGGCTATCGCGACGTGTTTTCGCGCATAGCGCAGCAAATTTTACAACAGATATTCTAGCTGCTTAAAAAAGTTGATAAAACACCTTCATAACAGTCAAACATAACATCTATTATGATTACAGCATTTCCCCAGGCCCGCAATAGAAAATCAACTGCCTGAAAAAATTCAAATTTCTAATTAACCGCCACCATTCTACCTTATATAAGTATACTCAAACAAAAGCGCGGCAGGTTTGATTTGCGGTAGCCTATATCCTCACCCATATAAAAAAGCTACCTGTTAATGAATAGTTTTGTAAGGTAGTTAAGTCAGTGAATAATTAAAGTTTTGTTTATCTTCTTAGTGTGCACACACACACACATACAAACATGTATAGGAACATTTGTATACATACACATCTGTTTATGAGTAAGTAGCGTACGGTTTTTGAATTTCGCTTATGATATACTAGAATGACAGAGAGTTAAAAATTTCATACACATTGACTGTATGCCTTAACATACAGATATAAATGATAAACATTGATACAGTGTCCGTAATGTGAGTACAGGATATATTTTTTCACTTGAGGTCACAGTGATATTGAATTTACCTGAATTATATTAAACAACTGTTTAAATTTAGATTTAGATCGCAGTGCATGATTCATCAGGTTACTCATTATTATTATCATTATTATCATTGTCATTGTCATTAATAATTAGGGTGACAGTCATAATAATAACCGTAATCATACTCATACAACAACAACTACTACTACTATTACTATTACTAGTACCAATAATAACACCGTCTCATAACATTTATGTATTGTCTGTCTCTCACACATTTATTGACTATATTAATTAGGTTACTCTGTTGAAGTTGACCGGTAAAATTTGTTGTCTTATGTGGTGAGTTTTTACTCAGTCTTATTCTTAGTTAAAATATGAAAATTATCTATGATTATTATCAGTTTTCAAGGATTAGTTTGTAGGGATTTGATATGTTTCAGGCTTTTTTATTATCACGGAATGATATCTGTCAGAGAACTATTGGAAGTCAACAAGAAGTACGGGGCAACGGTTTCGTCCTAGTATTCAGGACACTTTGGTAGTACGGACTCATCAGGGTTCGAACCTAGCACCTTCGGATTACAAGGTTGATATCAATTCGTGATCAGACTTGAAGTTAGTCAGTCCGATGCTCACTAGTCATTGGCTACAAGATGAAGTTGACTGGAGTTCTAGTGAGAAGTTGGGACCAGTGGGATCCACCAGATATGGAGTGAGGAAAATACTCTCCACTGATGACACTGGCTGGTGGTCGGTCTTGCTAAAATCACCAGTCGGTAGAAGTTACAATTCATGGGCTGGACACTGAATCCGGTACTGAAATGACCAGATGTTTTGTCACTGAACTATATACACCTTTTCGATCTCCTTTTACTAGCCAGGCTGGATAGTGTTTACGAGCGCTTTTTTCAAGTTGGCGCATGGTGCGGCCGATGTACTCAGCTCCGCAAGAGCAAGTAAACTGGTATATGTACGTTGAAGTGGCCCATTTCCAAGGCTCGTTTATCGCGTTCTGGTTGGACAATTTCTTACAGGAAAACGTTAGTCGTAGGCTAGCGGCGAAGTATGTTTTCCTCAGAGATTTGGAGAGGCGTTTACGAAGAATTTCTGCCTCAATGTCAACTTTGAATTCTAGATTAAGCAGAAGTATTTTCTTTGGGACTTGCTCTTGCGGAGCTGAATATATCAGCCGTATCATGCACCAACTTGAAAAACTCGCACATGAACACTATCCAGCCTGGCTAGTAAAAGGGTACCGGGTACTGTTGGCTGAATGGTCTACGAGCTTGACTTAAAACCAGAAGATCCTGGGTTTGTATTGTCAAAGAGTCCCAAGTGCAAGGATTAAACATTGGTCCAGTACTACGCGTTGGTTTTCAACGCTTCTATAACTGACGTCAATCCGTCATCAAAATTGAAATTATCATTAGTATAATAATTCTGCTTTTTATTCTGTCCTCAGTATGTATATATATATTCGTTTTATTGATTCTATTTTCTAAGGAAGCATTTGTCATCCTCATGAAGAACTTAACAACTACTTACAAACCGCACGGTGTACGTTATCATGTGTTGCAACAACTACGCTCACTCAGGAAATGAACTAACCTGATTGACAGGTTGTAGTCTCTAGAAGCAAGCCGACAAAATTCACAAGTCCAAAAATATCAAAAGTAGTCTTCGATGTGCAATCTCTTTTGAAACCACTTTTCAGATGTACACTGTCATAGCTTCTTTACATGCAAATGAAGACAGAAAAGATTTGCTGATGAGATCATCTGAGACAAGTCCTCAGCTTTCCGGTTCAGAATGATAATACAATTGGGATGACAATAGATGATTACTCAGTTAGTGTAACATAATACTGAAGAGACGTTTATGCATCTGGGTAAAGTTCTTGGTTACTTAATTTGAATCAATACCCAGTTATTATCTGGGTTAATTAGATTAGTTGGTATAGTACCCAAGTGGTCATTAAGAGGTAACTGGTTGCATTTAACAATTACCCGTTATGCAAACAGATTTGTAAACCTATGCTTACTTGGAAGGCTTCTAAATGTAAAGGTGCTACCGTAGGAACGTCGATGTTCTGGAGTAATATGAAGTTCATATTTTACTAACTAACATTTTGTCGCTAATAATGTATCAGTGAGATTCTTTTTTACAAGAAAACAACTTATCGCTAAAGACAAAGTCTTCAGTTGTTAAATAACAAAAAAAACTTATCTTACTGAGTCCTTTTGGTCTGCATTTTCTTGTCAGTATTTACAAGTTAGGTAGAGTACTAGTTGGTCAGGTACTTAGGCATACTATGTTTGTTAAGGCTAGCATATTGTATCTAATCAGTAGCACTACCCTAGTACTTCACACTATTACTCTATCAGTGATGATAAATGTGATCTGTTTCAAGGTTTTGAACAGAATTAAACAGATGCATGAAACTACTCACTACCTAGTTTCCAATCGAAAGTATCCAATAAAGTCCTACAGGAGGTCAATCGTGAGCCCCGATAGCTCAGTAGTAACGTCTCTGACTTCAACACTCGCTGGATAACACGAGTTCGAATCTCAAAAGGGATATGAGTTCCTTGAAGATTGCAGATACGCCTTGTTGGCTGATGAGTGCTAACAAGTACGAAACCTAGGTCGAGCAAGGCTTCCTTCATGTTGCCTCCAACCACCTAGTAACAACAACAATTCAGGGTGCACCATGATGGCCACATTGTGAACCTGACTGATAGAATTTAGTCTGCACCGAACAAAGGACTAGATAAATGCTACTAGCTGCTAACTAGTTTCCGATCAAAGTATACAATATATAATGCTGAAATAATTATAGGCTAAAGCTTTCAAGTTATGGCATCCAACAAGACACGTACCTCTGTCATATCACATTTATCTGACTACTAATAATATTTTAAAAATCCCTGCCTGTAACACGCATCTATTGAACAAATGAAAGCATCCATTTATCAACAATTTGGTTGAATACAAAATAGTTTCTTCGAGAAACTTCACGTATATATTTCTTTATTTATGGCTTGATCCCACACCGTATTTCTGATACTACAGGCGGAACTGACGAGGATATCAAAGCAAGAATTGGAAAAGCAAGACAAGCTTTCACTACTCTCAAGTCTGTGTGGAGGACAACAACACTCAGCATCAAAAATAAGATCCGGATTTTCAACTCCAGTGTGAAGTCAGTGCTACTATACGGATCAGAGACTTGCACTACGCGTCATAAAGAGCATCTCAAACAAACTACAGACCTTCATTAACAGTTGCCTTCGCTCAATACTCAAGATCACATGACCGGTCAGAAAAGATCAGCAACAGAGATCTCTGGGAGCGAACCAACCGAGCAGGAACCGATTGTGAAACAAATATGCAGGAAGAAATGGAGATGGATTGGCCATACTCTGAGGAAACCATCAAGTGACATCACTAGACAAGCCATTGCTCGAGTGGAACCCGAAAGAGAAGCGGCGAGTTGGTCGTCAGTGCGAAGGTGGGGTGACTTGGAGGAGGTCATTTGAAGAGGAGACGAAAGCGTGTGCGCAGACTTGGAGCCAGGTGAAGACTCTAGCAGAGAATCGAACGCAATGGAGACGCACGGCTGAAGCCCTATGTTCCTCTAGGAATTAAAGGAAATAATAATAATATAATAGAATTTTCAGCATGTGATATCGGTAGCCCAAATTTTGCCGGCTGATCATTTATATCAGGTGTGCGTCGACAGGGGATCGACCCCCCCCCCGGATTATATGCATGGTCGGTGAGAGTCCTAACCGCTGTGCCACCGACGCGCAGGATGACACGCAAAATCATGAAGCGTTCCATATAGTAAATAGTAAGTATTTTACCGATGAATTTCAACACTGAAGCATATATATATATACATTAATTAATAAGATTAACTTACACCAAAGAAGCTAAATGTGATTCAGTTTTAATCCAATGGTTTAAAGTACTCCCAATTGCTGCACGATTATACGAGCTTGGATATTGTCCAGACACTGGAGGATAGTATCGATTCTCTGAACTATCTGAAGGTTTATCCGTAGAAGCTTTACCTAACAGCATAGTATTACCAGTATTTATTGAATTTTGACTATTAATATTATTGTTATTATTATTATCGACTTTCTTTTCCTTTCTACCGTCTATATCATTTGTCAGTGGAGATTGTTTCGTCATTGTCTGATATAACTGTTGCTGTTGTTGCTGCTGTTGATAATGATGTTTAGCCAATGAACAGATCCATGTACGCAATAAACCATAACGTACACTGGACAGTGTTTCAACTGCACCAGGTAAATTTGTTGGAACTAATAACAGATTATACGATTCCCCATTGAAATGGATTGTATTCTGTCCATAACCATATGTATCATAATCATTTTCTTGTCCATAATAATCTAAGAAATCATCTATACCATTCGGTTCACTAGAACACTTTTCTTCATTCAATAAATGTTCATGATTCGGTGATAACCAATTGTGTTCACGTAATAGATTGATATCTTTATCATAGGTTATACCATTACTGTTTGGATTCCCCCCTGCATGCGTACTACCATTCATATTCATAACTGATGAAGGTCTTTGATTTGAACGTAGACGTTTGCCTTGACGGTCACTACGATCATCTGAAAGAGTGGGAAAAAGAAATTTTGGAAACAATGATTATCTTGTGTGAGTAATTTTTTATAAGAAATACTAAGAAGAAAGTTATCAGTATTATTGATTACTATTATCCCCTTGAATTCCGAGTGGAGCACAGAGCTTCTTCAATAGAACATCAACACTTTGTTCTATTCTCTAAAGTCCCCTTCAGCTGGACACACGACTGCCCATAGGCTTTAATCACCCTCGGACGCACTCCGAACTCGTCGTTTCCCATTCGGGTTTCACCCAAAGGACAGCTTGGCGCGGAATGTCACTCAACAGTCTTCTTAGCATGTCGGATCTATCTGCATTTCCTTTAGAATATTTGTTCAGGAATGGATTCTCAGTCGGTTCGTTTGCAGAGTTTCTGGTTACTAACCTTCCCTGGCCGGCTATCTGATCTTTGGTATGGAGTTAGTGAAGGTGGCATCTGTTGATAAAAGACTACAGCGTCCGGTTAGAAATAGTTTTCGCAACACGCCCGCATAGAAGGAGTGACTGACTTAACATTGGTGTTGGAAATTCGAAATTCGCTCCCTAAGTTGTGTGCCGGTGATTTCAGGGTGGTGAAGGTATGTCTTGCCTTTCCGATCCTGAATAGTTTTTACATCCTCATCCGTGTTGTTGTCTGTATTTGAAACGATAAGTGAAGGAAGTGACCCCTTTCGAATGTTTTCCTTAATAGTGATTGGGGCTTGTGGTTGGTTATCTTCATCACCTCCGTCTTCTCTATGCTCACTTGAAGTTCTGTCTTCGCTGGCTGCTTCTTCTTCCAACTTGTTGGTAAGTCTTCGAGTTTGTGTGACGGTGGGCCTAGATCATCCGTGAAGTCTAGATCTCCTAGAGTCTTCTTATTGGTCCAACGTATCCTTATCTTCTTGCTCTCTACGTACGATGTTTCGCATAATCGAGTCTACCACAATTAAGAATATCACCTATGACAGTAAGATAACTGGTACTAGATGAGTAAATAATAATCACCACACACACACACGAAACGATCTGATACGATTTCACCATATAATAATGGTACAGCTCTATCTCGAAGAGCTCTATCTATCTATGGTGTCCAATATCTACCAGATCTACCGAAGATACAATCAAAGATGAACTAAATAGTGTTGTCAGCTATAATTGGTCTTTGACTTCAAGGTGAAACACCTGAAAATAGATCCATTGATGAATTCTCTTCCGCAAAATCAGCCTGTAGAGTTAGACATTTAATAAGTAAGAATAACTGCTAACTTTTGTGAAGCTACATTTTTCCAGGAACCGCTTAAGTCAAACACTTGAATCACAATAGAGTAACATCAGATGGATTCGCTCTTACTTTCAGGTAGAATGCTCGCCAACCATGCCATATGTGGTTCGGGGTTCGATCCCCAGCCACAGACGCACTGCTTTATCTCGCTAAGCCAGTAATAAGACTGGTAAAGAGGGAAGGTTGAGCATGAGGCTAGCAACATCATCCCGTAAAAATAAATGCCAATGCTACCGAAACTTCAAAGCTCCCGCTTGAAGCCCTATGTTCAGGTATACAGTATTCCACCCTAGTTACAGACTACCTGCACCTGAACTGGTAACTTTGGTAACTAAGTGATCTGTCACATTTTTTGAAATCTCTTTCCAGTATGTAATCTTCCACTGTATTTTGATCAGTATATAGTTTCTTCTTTTCTTTCAATACTGTAACGTAATAATTCCTTGGAAAAATCCCTCCTGAACAATCCAATTGCAATATTGGTACCTACTTGGATGTTTCAACTAACTTTGTAATTAATATCTCCTTTTTTTCCTAGACTATATACATCACTGTTCTGACATTTGCATTTCATATGTTGACTTCATCGTAATTATTTATCTTTGTTCCTGCCTAATCTCTAATATTTATGCTTATCTTTGTTTTATGGTGTGATTTGGTTTAAGTGGTGTGTGATTCCTGTGAAACCCCCCTTATTAGGAATATTCTACTCTATTCTCAGGTGCTTCTTACAGTTGATTTTTTGTTAACTAACTTTGTTCTGCAGTATTCGTTTGATACTTGGAGCGTTATCGTGATTGTACTGTTGAGGTGATTCCGAAATTCTGATTTTATCATTGCTGAAAAGAACCAGAGAGATCTATCAACTAAAAATAGTCTTTTTGCTGTCTTTGGAGCTTTTTGTGACTGTGCGTAACTCAAGGAATTTTTGTCAGCTATACATTAGGAGACGAAGATCGTTTTTATGCGCTCAGACTAAAACAAGTTGGTTTTGCTGATTACAAGTATTATAAATTGCCTGTTTCACAATTGACTCAATATTAAATAAGGTTGCTGGGCTTGTAGAAATGAACACAACGATAAAGAACAATTTCTTCCTTGAAATATCTTCGGTTTTCTACTAAAACCGATTTATTACTTAAATGAGTTGTGTTTTTTTCAAATAATTGTTTACTTACTTGATTCTTTTCTGCGTTTGCCTAATGTTGGAGTACAGATTGATAAAGTATCTCCAGTACGTCTTTCATTGTTTTCCTTATCTCTTTTAGGGCACGCACAACTACGAAATTTAATACATTGACGTCCAAGTACTTCACAGTGTCCTTTGCTTGGATCACATCTGTATAAAAAGAAAAGGAATAGCGGTGATTGCATTAATTAATAAATAGAAGAATTTATCAGAAGAGATGGTTAGAATTCTTATAGTTTTCGATGTTGTCTACACCTGTCCGTTCTGTCCGTTTTAGGTCATGAACAATTTTAAAACATTCTGTGCAAGAATAAACCATTTAAAGCGGATATAAAGTTGAATAAATGAAAAATCTTCTCACAAGCTGGCGATCGAGATTATTTCAGATCTACCGGAGCTTAATCAATTTAAGGCAAACATAAAGAATAGCGACTGCGGAGTGCAAACGCACCAATGACCTTGGGTTGACCAATGAGAACAGGTTGTTCACTTTACATTATATATGACAACAATACACATAATAGTAGTGAAACAAAACACTAAAGACAATATTTTACTCTGATGAAATTCAAAAATACTTCCCAAATACAGTGAGGAGTATAAGTTATATCAGTTTCTTGTATATCAAAATGATCCCTTCTCCCGTTTCTTTATTTACAAGGTAATAATAATAAAATATCTGAATCCCAATCCTAACCTTAACCCCAATCCCCATCTATTGGTTTATAAACCCTAGTCATAGACCCAATCCTAACATTCTATCAACTCAGAATTGTTGTTATTAGATGGTTGGAGGCAATCGGCAGGAAGCCTTCAACCTAGGTTTCGTACTTGTTAGCACTCGTCAGTCAGCAAAGCGTTTCTGCAATCTTGAAGGAATTTGTGCCCCTTCTGAGACTCGAACCCATGTCAATTAGTGAGTGCTGAAGTCAGTGACATTACCACTGAGCCATTCGGGCCCGCGATTGACCTCCTGTAGGACTGTATTAGACAGATAGAATTCAGTCTGCGGTAAACAATGGATTAGACTCATGACACCAGTTACTTACTACGTAATGTCCAATCGAAAGTACTTAATATGGTCCTACAGGTGGTCAATCGCGAGCCCCGATAGTTGAGTAGTAACATCACTGACTTCAGTACTCTCTGGGTAACGTGGGTTCAAATTTCAGAAGGGACATGAATTCCTTCACGATTGCAGATATGCCTTGCTGACTGGTGAGTGCTGACAAGTACGAAACCTAGATCAGTCAAGGCTTCGTTTCTGTTGTCTTCAACCATCTAATATCAACAAATTCTGAGTGTACCATGGTGGCCACATTGCAAACTTGACTGACAATAGAATTCAGTCTGCAGTAAATAGAGGTCTAGACACATGACACCAGCTAATGTCCAATTGAAAGTATGCTATCAGTTTACTATCCTAACGAGATATGGATAAAATCTGCACTTAAATTAGTGCACAGTGTTCATAGTGACACTGTAATAAATAACAGCAGGTTGCGTAATCCAACAAATGCTATAGGTCGCTATTCTTTAGATTTTCCTTATTTAGGTGTTAGATGTCATTTCTTCGGCACTGTAGAAGCAGAAACTGTTACTGCCTCATTTATTAACAACTTAAATGATAATAATAATAGTCTGCTTTATTCCAAAAAACGGTACTTAGAATACAGCATGGAATTCTCAGCATTTGTCACAATACTACATCTGATTTACTCAAAATATAAATAAAAGTAACCACGGGAATTTGTCCACTTTTACAGTAGGAATAAAGTCAAAAGTGTGCTAAGTACATAATGAGAATAATAACTCTAATAATGATAATAATAATAATAATAATAGTAATAATAGTGGGTTTGTTTCAAACAGTATTGTCGATTCATTTTGGAAATTTTAGCATGTTACAGAGTATTGAGTTTACTGTTCTCTTGACAAAGCATGGTGAGGGGAAAAACAAAAAATAACAATTATTACACATCTTAAATGATGTTTACACTTATGAGAAAATAAACAACAAAAAAGATTGAGAGGATTATAAATATAAGAAGAATAATAACCGTTAAGCTGGATGGTATAGGGATGGAGAAAATTTTTTTTATTTACTAGTGGTAAGAAGGTCAGTCATTTTCGCACCTGACACTATTTTCATCACATAGAATACGTACGAAATATGGTATCGTGGAATTTTTATACTTAGACGTACGTTCATAAAGTCTTTTGAGATGACTTCATGTTTTACGAAAGCTGCGATTAAAGCGGATACTCACAGTCTGACAAAATTCCTTTAGCAAAATTTGTTGCATGAAATCAAGTGCCTATTAGTGATGATGTCAACGATATGACCCGATGGGATAAGATACCATTTGCCCTACTGACAGTCAGTCTTCAGAGTTCTACGAAGTATGACAACCCAGAAAAGAATAAATAAGGGTGTACAATAAAGAAGAACAGATAAGACACAAGAGTTGACAAACTGTAAGAAGAGGAGGAGGAGGGGTTGAATTATGTAAAAAGTCAGACGGAATATTTCTTTTTTTGTTGTCTAGAAATCTCTAAGACGTAGGAATAAACCCACTAGTTGTACTTTATAAATTACTATGCTGTCTTCTCTAAGCCACTTCTTCATTGACGAGAGAATGCATTATTTATTCACTTATATTTTAAGTCTTTTCTGTTGAGAATACTCTATCCGACAGACATTCACCTCCACCCACCCCACCCACTCACTGTCTGATTCACTTACCCGCACATATAAACTCCAATGTCAACCACTATTGTTTTAATGAATTCTCTCAATTTTGATAATTTTTTTGTGTGGAGACTATTCAGAAAAGTGTCTTTTCTTTCTTTTTGTCTAGCATTGAAGAATGAAAACGATTAGTAATATTTCTGTTATGATTACACCACCACTACCAAAAGCAGCAGCAGCAACAGAAACAACAACAACGTCAAGGTTACTATTATGATGAATTCCCTGTGTCACCAGACAAATTGACTTTCTCTCTCACTCTCTCAGTCTATTTTCTCTTATGCCTGCCTGAATCACATGCGTATCTGTTCGTTTTTAACTAAATGTTCATCTTTTTTTGTTTAAATTATTATCATTGTATTATATCGCATTGTTTATTTATTTATTTATTTTGAAAGAGTTCAAAAACTACTTTGGGTCAGTTCGGGTCAAGTCTGGTCACCGTATTATAGTCTCTCATGTGTTTGGACGCAGAGGAAAGGTGATGAAAGATTGAGAAAGATATATTCATATAAGAATAATTTTATCTAATACAACTTTAAGTTACACTAATACATACTGTATAATGAATGAATGAATGATAAATGCTGCATAAAACCTGGGGTGAGTACTGACCATAGTAACTAAGTCAATAATCAACTATTGAAAAAAAAAAGAGTTTATATATGAATGGTATGTATACAGACATTTTCTTCTCTTTTTATTGTTTTAATTCTGTCCGACATGCATGTAGTTATGCATATATATGCTGAGTTTGATAAAATACCTAACTCTCATTGTCATTACTACATTAATGTACACTCCGGGGAGTAAAAATTATCCGTCACTCTCTATCTCGCGCGCGCGCTAATCATGGTTACAAGCATGATAGAAGACTATCTACCTATCTATCTATCTCTATCTCTTTATAGTATTCAGTCAAAATACAAAACTCTATTGCATTGCATACAGACTTTCATTTCTCAGATAGATAAACTCTATCATCAGTGAAAATAAAGTATTTTTTTTATTTTTTTTTCAAAACATGCTGTAGCATGTCAGCGTTAAAGAGAGACAAACTAAGCATTATTGTCGCTACTCTGTTGTGACTATCTTTTTAAAAATAATTATTATATTGAAATTCAGTGTAGACACACACACAAAGACAGAAACGATACAAAATCCTCCATACTATATATATATATACATAGATAAATGTGCTATTATGGTTTCTCAAGTTTTATTTTTATGCCGATTCACAGCCTACTTAACGATAATGGAGAAATCATGCCTGTAAACAGGTGACTAAGAGCTCCAAAACACTAAATCACTATTCATTAAGTGTTGGTTTGTAGGGATTCAAGTGGTCACATGAGTCGATATAGCTTAGAGAACGCATGGAGTACTGGACAGCTGTTTCGTCCTAGTTCATGACTCCTCATCACCACCCACCCACTGGCGTTCAAACCCAGGACCTGTTGGTTACAGGGTGAGTTCAAAGACCATTCAGCCACTGGGATCCGATTCAGTGACTAGTCCATGAATTCCAGCTTCTGATTTCAAGCCGTGATCAAACGCGTAACCAATCAAATCCCTGCACACCAATACTTGATAATTAATCAGATGCTCACTAAACACTTCGTCTATACAGGAAGTTACCTGGAGTTACAGCGACAAGTTGCAGCCAACAGGAATAGCTAACCGCAGATGACACTGGTTGGTAGCTGCGCTATGTATATATATATATATATGTATATTGGAAACCCATCCTGTGGCCCATGAATCCCAACTTCTGCCAATTCACAATATAGCGCAACCACTTTGCAATGTCTTCTGCGATGAGTAACTGTCCTCACCTTCGACCTGCTATACCCTACTGGTCGCAACTTCCCACTAGGACCTCAGGTAACTGCCTGAATAGGGCCAGTTGCTAGTAGGGTACAGCAGGTCGAAAGTGAGGACAGTTACTCATCGAAGACACTGCGAAGTGGACGCGCTATGTAGTGAATTGGAAGAAGTTAGGATTTATGAGTTTGCCATTGGATCGGATCCCAGTGGCTTAATGGTCTACGAGTTCGCCTTGTAACCAGACGGTCCAGACTTCGACAAAACACATGTCCAGTACTCCGTGTTGGTTTTCAATGGTTTTTTAACTGACATCAGTCCGTTGTCGAACTTCAAATAACTATTGAACTAAAGACATTCTTTTACTACAGTTTATGTTACATTATTAATATTCGAGTTTATTTATGCGGCTGCGCTACTCTATCTTCAGACTTCTTATTTACCCTTATTATTAAGATTATACAGACTTAGGCATGAATAGACATTGGCTATGAAGGGGGACGTGTCATACTTTGGAAACAAATAGATTTTTAAATATTCTAAGTGGAAGATTGTGAAATTTTTGTCACAGTTTCCTTTGGAAACCAAATTATTTACATCACAGTATGTGATCTGCTTGATGCCATAAATGGTAATTTAAAAAAAAAACAAGTATATTTGCATAAAAATATATACTACTGATTGACTGGGATGAGTAGTTGTATACCGCTCACATCAACCAGCAGTGCTTGCTAGCCAACCAACCTCGACATCGACACCGGACGGCTGCCTCTCTCGTTTAGGGTCGAGCTCATCAGTAGTGTACCCGGTTTGACTCACCTTAGAGAGCTGAATCAGTTCAAACCAACCGATTTCTGATGAGTTCGGCTCCGAACGAGCGAAACGACCGTCCGGTCTTTAGATCACCTTGATCTGGCTGGCTGCCTGGCTAGTAAGCCCCACTGGTTGATATGAGTTAGTGGTATACAACTACTCATTTCAATTAATCAGTAGTACATAATTTTATGCGAAAGATTATGTGTGTTATTGTGTTTTGTCTTTGTATAGTCATCAAAATGTAAGAACTTGCTTATAGAACAGAATATATAGATAATAATGAAGAAACAGTACGGTCAGCATTTAATTAGGCAACACACTACATTATAACAGTAGGTTTTATACGTCAACACTTTCACTTACCCTGTTATTAATCGTTCTAGTGTAATTATTAAGTAAAGCGGTTTCTTATTCCCCTGGCCACCATTGTATAAACAACTGTTGAAACACATGAATTTCCCATTGAATTGGCTATATTCACATCCTTCTGTAATTAAGAAAAAGCATAAGTATGAAGGCGAATGGCTATTAACTGTTTTTTTCAGATAATATTCACTACAGTTACTCTCAATTTGGGCATAATTTCCACCAGATAGCCATGTATTACAACACAAACATAATTATACTACTTGTTAGTAGTAGGGTGATGTAAAAAGAATTTTAGTGAGTCCCTATTGAATAGTATATATTTGACAAACATTTTAGAATGATAGATATATTAAGAGCATTGTTATAAGAAAGGGGTTACAACTTCAGCTAGATAATTCAATTAAGATGTCTGTTAGTCTTCAGTATTTCTAAAGAAATATTTTAAACTAAGAAGCTTGCGGAAATATATCTCTTCCAAGCAACTTAGTTTTTTTAATGTATATTCTCAAACCCTTATGATAATTTAAGGTATTCTGTAATTGTATTCACATGGAACGTACTAGTCCATGTGTACCACTCAGTACTTTGGGGGCGTGATCATCTTAAGCCATTGAGTTGGATCCTAGTGGTTGAATGGTCCACAGACTCACCTTGTAAGCAGAAGGTCCTGGGCTCGAGACTCAGTGGGTTCGTACCTCTGATAAGTCCCAACCTAGGACAAAACAGCTGTCCAGTACTCGCTGTTGCTTCTCAGTAGTCAATGGCATATTTTCTCTGAAGTGGTTACTGACACCACTTTTGGTTAATAGACGTGTAAGGAAGAATCTTAGATAATCTTTTGCATTCCTATTGGATCGTAAGGCTTCAAACGTGAACTGTGGATAATTTTCAGTAGCAGTGGTGTTCATTTTTTCACATGGTGGGGTAGTTAGCCACACTAGGCCCAACTTTTCCTCTTTACCAGTTTCACTACCGGCTAAGCGATATAGGAGTTTGTTAGCAGGGGACTGGTACCCTGAACAGGTGCGTGGTTGGCGGGTTTTTTATCACTGAACCACCGACGTACAATCTGAAGTAGTAGTCAGTCACAAGAATAAAAAGCCCACGTGATTTAAAAGTGCTCACCAATCTATTACGCAATATCAACCTGAAGTCATGAATAACTCCTTTTTTTAAATTCTAATTCTTCTGAGATATACACTAGGCGTTATTGAAAAATCACATTAAGAAGCGCCATTCATAACTTCAAATTGACACTTTGTGATTCACTTTTCAGGCACATGAATGTTTTGCTCTTATAACAAGCTGATTTTCTCTTTTTGTATGTCCCACTTTTGTAAGGAATCCACTTTTACGATTATTTAGAGAAACAAGAAACTCTGTGATGCCAAATTGACAGTGAAACATATAGCTGAATATTGAAGAAACTACTGAAAACTGCTGCTTAGAGTAGACACAAGAGAAACTAAGACAGATTATTGTCAGTTAGTAGACGAAAGTGTATGAGTATGTATGCAGGTCTACAAGTGAGTGTGTGACACAAAAGAAAGAGTTACAGACAATCCAGTTAATTCACCAGCTTTCTACCTAATAAGACATTCAAACTGTTAGATTTTTGACATGAATCAACATCAGTGAGAGAGATAGAGAAATCATTAACATCAGCACGGAGTACTGGACAGCTGCCTCGTTCTCCAAGTTTGAGATTTCTCAGCAGTGCAACCCTATGACCCAGCCAAGTATCAAACCGGAGACCTTCAGTTAAGCTTACTGACTATCCAGCCACTTGGGGTGACCTTTAAATTCTAACTTTGATCAGTGGGGTCCACTTTGTTAAGGTAAAGTGGATGCTCATTGAAAGCATTGGTGAGAGCAGAGCTATACCACGAGCTGACAAAGTTAGACACCAGGGGGTCAATAATTTCCCAACCAAGTGACTGAATAGTCAACGAGTTTGGTTGTGTAACCTGAAGGTACGGGGTTATGGGAGCACACCTTAGAAGAGTCCCGAAATGGGACGAAACAGGAGTCCACTGCTCCCTGTTAGTTTTCAGTGATCTCTCTAGCTGACGTTGGTTCGTGACGAAAATCTAACAACTGAAATTAATCCAAAGTGCCTACAAATTCTATAATTTGAATAATAAAACATTCGTTAGTTCTCAACTCTCCTGTGAATGGAAGACTTATTATCTATAAAATAAGCAACGAATGAAAATTTAGTGTTTTTTTTCTTAAAACTGACGCAGATAAACAAACAGTGAGACTATCAGAGCGATGAAGTTTCTTCAAAATAAAATTTCGGTTTTACCTTTTGGTGTTTCATAGGGTAAAGTGACGCATAGTCGTTCAGTTGTCGGATCAAAAAAGTATTCAGCTAGGGAATTGCCAACCATCACTATACTGTAACGAGCCATTCCAGAAGTTGGTATTGCCATAAAATCTTCAAAACACCTAGATGAACAAAATTTAAATTAAAGACATGAATACTTATAACAATATATTATATAATTTATACAGTATAGTAATATATGATATACCGTGTTAATACAGACGTAATATTCATTAGTGAACATTACCCGTTACGTCGTTGAATTTGTGAGGGATTCAACTGATTTCAAAGTAGATTTCAATAAGAAACAGGAAGAACACCACTGAAAAGTAGTGGATATTGGCTAACTGTTTTATTCCCCCTTTGAAAATGAATCCCTTTTGAATCCCTGAATGGGCACTGTTGTAAAGTCTAAGACAAACTATCACAAGAACAACTGTCTAGTGCTTTCTGGTTTCCGAAAATTCTTGTGAATAGAAATACTAGTTCGTGACACTTAAAAGTCTTCTCTTTCAAAAAACAGACAGAAAGTAGAATCCATGCATCACCTTAACTCCTGTTGACGTCACGCACACTATCACTGAAGAGTACCGAGCCGGGACGAAACAGATTTCCGCCTATCCCCAATTTTTACTTGTCCCACAACTTATTTACCTATAAAAAGCTGTGGTATTTCAGCTTTCCTCAATGTTATTGTACTCCTTCATCAGAAATTTGTTTTCTATCTTTAAAGGTTCACACTGAATATACCAGAGCCATATCGTTCACTAGTGATTCAGATAACTACTGAATGTTAATTCTTTGGGTAACTGAGCACTTATATATTTACCGAATAGTTGGAGGATTTCATCATAAGCTAACATCAGTTAGAGAACCATTGGAAGACCTGCAGGGAGTACTGGACAGCCCTTTCGTCAGCCTAGCTCGGGGCTCTTCAACAGTGTGCACCCACCGACAGGGGTCGAATCCAGGACCTTATGATTACAAGGCGAGCTAGGTCGTAGACCATTACTCAGCCACTGGGACCCAATCCAATGGCCGACCCATGAATTCTAACTTCTGCCAATTCATGGCATAGCACCACCACTTAGCAATGTCAGCTTGTGATGAAATCCTCCAACCAACCATTACTTAACAATTTATCGATTAGCCTAAAGACTTTTGTTTCATTGGCACATTAGGTCAAGTATGGGGATCGGAGATTAATGTAACGTAACAGAAGGAAGAATGAGATGATTTCCTAATTAGGCGAAATCATAAAATAAGTAGCAATGTCGAAAATTAAATGTCGCCATTACTTTTTAAACTCTTTAAGGACATTCATCCATCTGTTTGCTTAACGGAAAGAGAAACGCAGTAAATTTTATTAGTCAACATATTTATCCTCAAAAATAATCTGCGTTTCAGGTTGTTATTTCATTGGTTAGTGTACTTCTAGTTGGGTGAACTATGGACAGAAACTGATTTTTCACCCTGAGTTTTCTGTTCATTGGATAGATGGAAGCAAATAATACGGGAAATAAGCAATTTTATACATTATGAAGCAATAGTAGTAGACAGGATAGAAGTGAATAATTGGCATAAAAGGAAGAGATGGGGAGAAAAATATAATTTTCCTGTCTTTCCTATTGCTCTTAGAAATTAATATTTTTCTGGTGACAGCAAGACTGGTAGGGTATTATTCTTCCCCACAGGATAGAAAAACTTATTTTAGTATTTGAGGGGAGAACAGAATCTTTCATCCTAGTGAATAGACTGACATTAAAAAATGGCAATTAGAAAGACCGTTGAAATACCATTTATTAAAGTCGGAAAAAACTGTGACTTAAATATTCAGTTGAAAGTCTTTAAGTTATCAAAAGTATTAAAATCTTAGACCTCAAGTATAATAATAACTTTACTCCAAACAGTACTTTTGATACAAATCTGGATTTTACAGTATGTAGTAAAGTATTGTTTCTTATTGACTAACTGACTGGTTTCAACGCAGAAATTTGCACAGATATACCACAGTTCGAGCCTCTACACTTCACTTAGCACACATAACAGAGACAGTAAACACAGATATGGAGCAAAAAGAATAGTAATATTGAGGAACTATATCGTTTTATTTTTTTATTTTTTTTTAAATTTTGGTTATAGCTTGAAACCACACAGTATTTTTGGTACAAGTTTGGAACTTTCAGCATGCGCTATCAGTAGCCCAAATTTTGCAGGCCGACCACTGATACCAGATGTGCGCCGGCAGGAGACCGAACCCCGGACCATTTGCATCGTGGGCGAGAATCCTAACCGCTGTGCCACCGACACACAGCGGTGGATTTATAAGTCACAAGGAGTAGATGTATCTGAACCACTGAGAACGATTGTGAGCCATATCACCAATTGTCTCCATTCATTGGCCCTTACCATCCCGAGGAATCCTACTAGTCAGGAAGTCTACACCTTCTTAAGTGACTGGCTTAAAATAAATATCAAGGATTTCACTGCTGATGAGGCCATGTTTTAGTTTGACCACCACTAGCTAAATATTTTCCCACCTGATCGATCCAATGTCAGATGACATCGTCCGTCGGTCGAGGAAGGCGATGGTAACGCATGCATGTGTAACATATGTTCTAACCATCTCAAACGATGTAACTCCACAACCTGGTTGATTGATTTCCTCTCCTTGCCTAGCACTTGACGCACAACCTGAATACTGCTCATCCTATTAAGCCTATTATACCACTTAACACGGGAGATAGAACACATATACCTATGATCAAAGAAAGCTAGTCGACCTTTTCACGTCTTCCACTTTCAGTGGTCATGTCTCAATCACAGACATAAAGAAGCACGGCGTGAACTGCTACTGAGCAGTACACCTTTGGTTGACAGCCGGATATCAGGTGGCGTAAGTTGGCATATACCAAACTAGTCTTCTGTATCCTTGCTGAGATTTCATCAGCGATCAACCCACTGGCACTGGCTGATGCAACTCCCCAGATAAGTGAAGTGGTCAACATGCTCAGCCACTACTTCACTCCTACCTATCTTTAAGCTAGGAGTCAACGTAGTCCAGTTTTGTAGCATTATCTTACATTCGGCAGGAGCGGATAGCATACATCTTATTACCGGCGTAATAATTATAACAGGGCACATTGATAATACTGTCCATTGTGAACGTGAATATAAAATTAAACTAAGTGAAAATATTAACAACAATTTAACCATGAAAAAAAGGCCGCTATTTGCTAAGTGTTCTGCAGTAAGTTAGTAGTGTCGTGTCTAACACACTTTTCTCATCACATAAAATGTGCGCCAAATAAGGCACTGTTCTGATTCTTAGTCGTTGAAGCATAATGTCTTCTATAATTGCTTCTGGTCCTTTCTGATAAGATACAAGGAGAGAATTGTATATAGACAGGATTTTCAGAATCCGACAAGATATTATTTGCTAATTTCTTGCATGAGTCTATGTGTATGTATCAACGACAGTATAAACAAGGTGGCTTAGCGACATCACACTAACTCTGCTGACAGCGTTTAGTGCCCTTCAAGGTGCAATAAAGTCTTTCTTATGTAGCAAGGGAGAGATTAAGGTGTGGGGACAAGCAATATAGAAGATTTTATAGACTTTTGGTTGCGTACTCATGAGAAGCCCCAGGCAGAGACGAAACAACTGTCCAGAGTCTTGTAATTTCAGCTGGCTTTTGATTAAGTCATAAGCAGCTATGAAGAAATTTACATTGTACTCTGCCGACTGTGCTATAAAAACTCTAATAGAAGACAACAATTGTCTTCTCTTTCATCCTTTCGATTAATTCTAGGTGTCATTTAGTTGATCCTGATCAGCAGTGGGATACCAGATGTGATTTCCATCTTATCTGGGGCTCGGCACTTGGATACACCTGCATTCTAGTGAGCAGTAGTGTTCTCACTGAAACTTGAAGCTAGCACCCACTGTCTCAAACTTCAAACAGTTATTCAATAGATTACTGAGTTAAATTATCTCAAAAAACCACCATCTTGATAATTTTGAGAAGCGATAATTGTGTGAGAACAAATAGGTCCGTAAGTTAAGCGTAGTTTTTGAGAAAAAATACTCCTGCTTCTAGTAATGAAACCAAATAATCCTTCTTAGTATACAGAGAATAAGAGTGAATATCTCCAATTACTTGCTGAAACAAAACGCCTTTATCTACAAAGGTTGAAGCATCATCTCTCAGCACTGGATTTATAGATGATAAACTGCTAGATTGATTGTACAGTAAAAGTTCTCAGCAGGTGTAACAGAATAATTGTTTGGAAAATCCCAATCTGAACGATCCAACCACAATATTTATACTTATTCGGATGTTTCGACCACCTTTGCAAATATTATCCTTTTTTCTCGTAGACTGTATATCATTATTCTTACATTTGCTATCATATATTGACTTAATCCTTACCAGTGCTGATAGTGTGCTGTTCTATAATGAGATTTTATTAGAGTGAGTCGATGTCTTTCTAGTCTTGGATTGTCTGTGGCAAGTGTTGGTGTATGATTCATCATGAGCTGACATCAGTTAGAGAACCATTGGAAAACCTGCAAGGAGTACTGGATAGCTGTGTTCGTCAGCCTAGTTTGGGGCTCCTCATCAGTACGCACCCACCGGGGTTCGAACCCGGGACCTTTTGGTTACAACGCGAGCTCGTAGACCATCTGGCCACTGGGATCCAATCCAGTTGATTCTCAGGTACTCCATACAATTAAAATTCCGCTGATTTTGTTCCACAGTACTTGTTTTGTGCTAGAAACTCATGTGATCTGTGTAGCTGCCTAACGGCAATGTTGAGTTACTTTCGATTTTCTGATATTATTACTGTTGTATAGAACCACATAGATCTATCGACAAATTACTGTATGATTACTGTCTTTGGAGCGTTTTGTGACTGTGCATCTCTCAAGGAAGTCTCAGACAAAGCTATGCAATAGAACACAAAGATAGGTTCCCTGTGTTCAAACCACAACAAATCAGTTTTGGTAGTTACATCAGGTATACGAAATCCACCAATAATTGCTCTAATCTGGATATACTACGTGAGTCGGTGATTCAGCTGTAGAGCGCTCGCCACCCCTTCACGTGGTCTACGGTTCGACCCCTAAACGACTCACTCTTATAACCTCGCTATGCAGTTATTAAGGCTGATGGAGAGGAAAGGTAGGGCGTGATGATAACAACTCCACCGCATCAAAATAAAATCACTACAACATAAACTCCAAAGCTCATGCCTGAAGCCCTATGTTCCACCTAGAACGTAAAGGAACAAAAAGAAATAATATGTATACCGTAACTCACCTTTGGATTACTTCCTGTTGTTTATCTGACGCTCCATACACGGGTGTTAAACGAATAAATGAACCATCTGGTGGTTTACGTTGACACCAGTAGGATAATGTCCACCAAGTAGGTGTTTTCTTTGCATAAAGATTAGTCCATCCTTGTTCATCTTTAAAGTACTGTAAAGTAAAAGAAATGTACAAAATGGAAAAAGTCAAACGCGGTAAAGTTGTTCATCAAACTGACAAAAATGCATTTGCGTTTGGTAAACTGATGTCCTTCGAAGGAAATCACTACCATATTGATGTGATAACAATACAGAAATCGTTGACAAACTCTCTGTCTAAGCGGGTTACTATCAGTATATACTATTCATTGGTTATCTAAAGGAATACTTTAATCGTATGAGTAGATAAAAAGTAATCCAGGATGAATACGATTGTGATGCTTCATCAGCTACAATCAGCCTTAGATATTTTTAGTAAACATTTAAGAAGAGATTTAAAGATTCTTGGTTCTATTTGTATATTGATTCAAGTTCGGTAGTAGCCTAGATTAGTAATTCAGAGGTAATTGACAAGAAGCCTTGTGACGTAGGTTCCCTAGGTAACTGAAGTAGTGTCACCATAAATTGTAAATAGGAGAGGATAAAAGAGCCAGTTATTTTGCTAATAATCACACTAATACTTCCCGTATCATGCAGAACGAGGGATAAATAGGGTATCGTTGAGTTCTCGTGCTAAGTTGTGCGAGTATATTATCTTTTCTAATGACTTCTAGTCCCAACTAATGAGATACATGAGGACATTTGTGAATACAGAGTGTGTTGATAGTCAGACAATATGGATTTAGACCATTTCTTACATGAGTTCAGGTGTCTGTCGACTACAGCAGTAACCACATGACTTAGTGGCACACTACTTATCCTACTAACAACCTTTAATACCCTTCTCCTCAATATGACATAGTCTTTTTTGAAAAGCCCAGGAAAGACTAACATGGGGGAGCAATACAGAACAATAGGTAAAATGGAAGAGTTAACTTCTACTTTTATGATGACTTTGAAGTAATTTCAAAAATCAGTAGATACATTTGATTGTATGTTATATTCACTTATAAGATTGTTCGTGCTTAACATAATTTAAGTTTTATTGGGCAAAAAGAGAAATGAACTTACAAAAAATGCTGTGCTTGGTTTCGTTTCACTTGCCTCATAAGTATCTCCACACAATGGTCGATAAAGATCGAAACCATAATAACCAGGAAATGAATCTCTGTAATTAAAAAAATAAATAAATCAAAAGTCGTGAAACATGTGAATATAGTCGAGAAATGAAGAGAAAAGTGAGCTGATGTAACCAAAACTAGTCGTCTTTTCTACTTCACGATTATTCATACTGATAGATACCACTTATCGATAGATGACGTGATCTCAGAACATAGGTTGAATGCAAGAACTGTGGAAATCGCTATCCTGAACAGTCGAACCATGTCACCATGAAAAGTGCACAGGAACACATAATAATGACATGAAATCACTCGTTTTATGGCACCATAATATGAAATCAGTCAGTTCGCTACACGCTGGCCGATACCATTATGGCTTTGATTAAAAATATCTGGACTTGTGAATTCACAGTTGCAGAGGAATTCAAACGGGAATTGAATAATATTTACAGATTTATCAAGAACAAGTTGACAAAGAAACCTTTCGAATTTAACACTCCAGCAAGGGAAATACAACAGATACAGACTGAAAAAAAGTTACAGCTCTACCATAATTTCACTCTAACTTTTCTCCTGATCGACTTTATTTAACGCCGATCAGTAGTATATGACAGTTCTAGCGAATTTCTAATTCCCCTGGAAGTGTAAAACATCTGACTGATAGGATTTTTACAACCAATAGGTTATTATGAGTTTAAAACTTGAAAATACGATTGATGCATCAAAGAACAGGCTTCACTCTGACTGGTAATACCAACCAGTAATGATAACATATAAAGTTCGGAAAAGTCATGCAAATTATTGGTTTAAAGCTCTGTCACTGTATCACTGTATAATTTCATGTCAGTTATTTTGCCTGACGTTGTAAGTACAGTGCTTTTACTGACTATCATTTCAAGCAAATTTTGAGAGTTGTGTAATTACCTTGCCATGATTATGAAAGTGACCGAGTGACTGGTTCAATCCTAGAACTTTGCACATAAATGCACCAGTTTGAGGTGCCACACTCAGTGTACCACAAAAAGGAAGACAGAAAAACAGAGGAAAAAAGACATTTAAAAGAACGATAATAAGGATAAATGTGGGGGAGGAAGAACAGTAACATGGAAAGAGAGTAGAGTTTAGTGGCTATGGCATATCATAAAGAGAGAATAAATCTGCATCACTAGGAGCGATTTTCGGCCATATCACCGACTGTGTCGACCATAAATTTGTGTTTCATGGTTCTGTGTTTACTGAATAAACAGACTTGGAATGAATGGTCATACGAAAGTCTAAACTCTTATCAAGTATTGGTTTGTAGGGATTTGATTGGTTATACGTTTAACCACGAGCTGACATCAGTTGGAGCACCATTGGAAAACCTAAAAAACAGCTGTCCAGTACTCCCATGTTTTCCAATGGTTCTGTAAATGATATCGGCTTGTGGTCAGTCCCTCTAAAAAGTTACATTACTTACTTTACATAGATCTGGAACCTAAATTATATTGTTTCTGTTCACTAGATATCAGAACAATTGGGCTTCATACTTTTCAGAAAATGTTCTTCAAATCTGACCGCAGATTGATATCAGTTAGAGAACCATTGAAAACCAGCAGGCAGTACTGAACAGCTGTTTCATCCTAGTTTGGGGATTATCGGCAGTGCGCACCCACTGAGGTTCGAAACCAGGACTTTCCGGTTACAAGAAAAGCTCGTAGATCATTCATCCACTGGGACCCGATTCAATGGCCCATGAGTTATAACTTCTACCAATTCGTGATTTTTAGCGTGACTACCAACCAGTGTCATCGGTGGGACATCCATCCTCACACTTGACTGGTTGTACCTCACTGGTCACAACTTCTCACTGAAACTCCAGGGAATTCCGTCCCGTAGAAAGTCACTAGCAAGAATCAGATTTATTATCAAGGGTTGATTTTTCATTCAAAATCACCAACATTTTATACAGATAAGTAAATTTACAGTAAAATAACTAAAGAATTTAGAGTGAAACTCAGTGGTTCTTGAAAACTGAGTAAAAACTCTGACATGAAAAAAGCCTTATTTCTATATTTTGCCTTTAAATTTTGGGATATATGCATCTTTATTCTCTGATAAAAGTGACATTTCTTACAGTTTAATCAAATAACATGAATGTTTCACGAAAATTCAAATGGAATCCACTGCTTCCGAGGTCATTTATGCCCAGTGTACTTTGAAACTGTATTGTCTTTTCAAACAGAATAATTCAGAATGGATAGGAAGTGTTACATCAAATATTACATAATATGTGACTTCCTAATGTGGTCCCTTCGGAAACCCTAACTTCCCTCTTTCCCAGACATACTATCAGCTAAGCTTGGCCATATCTGATCACGTCTCAAGCCACTGACTTGAAATATCTCTCTCGAACCCCAGCTACAAAGTCGTCAAGTTGTACCAAATGACACCAACTCAACACAAATATCCTTCATCCTAAGACTCCACATCACTAGGCTGATCAACTCTCCACTTTTTGCATACACTCCCAGAGCTGCCTGTCTGTCTGTTTTCGACATAGAACTTTGCACAGATGTACAGTAGTTCAAGTCGCCACACTCTTTGTTGCACACAAAGCAAGAGAAGAAAGTAGGAGAAATGCATATTAGAGACTGTAAACAGAGGTGTGAGATAAAGGAATAGTAATAACGAAGAACGATATAGTTTCATTGGAAATCATAAGTCACAAAGAGTGGATGCATCTGAGCCAGCCATTGAGAACGATTTTGAGCCATATAACCAATTGTTTCCAACCATTGGTTTTTACCGTCCGGAGGACCCCAACCAGGAAGCCAGTCTACACCTTCCTACGTGGCTTAAACTAACTGTTGTGGATTTCATTGACTGGTGCCATGTTTTGGTTTGACCACCGTTAACTCTTTTCCAGCCTGACCCTATATCAGCTAACATTGCCCATTGTCGAGGAAGGCGATGGCTAGGCATACGTAACACATGTCCTAACCATCTCAGTCGATGTAATTTCACAGTCTCGTCGATTGATTTCCCCCCATTACCTAGCACTCGACTGAAGGCTAACCTCAATATTGCTCACCTTATTGTACAACTTCACACGGGAGATAGAACGCATGAACCTATGATCAAAGACAGCTAATCTTTTCATGTCTTCCACTCTCAATGGCCAGGATTCACAGCCATAAAGGAGGATGGAGCGGACTCCCAGAGCTAGTAAACAGACACCGGTAAGGAAGCCTCTGGAGTCGCATTCGTAGGACACGTCTAAGCCACCGAAGCCTGTATTTCTAGATGACGACGTACAATGAACGGTGACCTCTGCTGTGTCAAAACACACATGATGATGCCATTGAATGCAAACAGTCCCATGAAGATACCACTGATGGAATACTCAGAGTCACCTCATATCCTTGGGCGCAAGACTATGCTCACTGATCGGACCTTTGATAGCCAGGCTGACGTCACAACGGAGCTAGTGGTGACCTAAATTGGCGATTAGAGATCTTGTCCGTCACATCTGAGATCGTAGACACTCTTTATCTACATGTGATGATATCTGCTAGTCAAAAACCTATCTGCTTAAAACAGTTTAAAATTATATATATATATATATATATATCCCTCTTTTTTCATTTTGTTTACTAAATAAAGTTAATTATAATTTCATGAAATTGCTCACACACAAAAGAAACAAGTAATCAAGTTAAGGTTAGTTATCCAAAATTTTAAAAAAAACACAACAACAACTTGATTTGTTTTAATGGGTTTACTGATTTTCTAATTATACTGTGATAATTATCCTTGCCGAAAACAGAAAAAAATTAGACTTTTCTTTCTTTTTGAATGAACATTAAATCTCAAGAAATCTGTACTACTTACTACACACAGAGGTAACTTTTCTTTGTAATAATTAACAATGGTAACAACAAGGAATACGCTTGTACACCTTAGTATCGGTAGGCATATACCCAGACACAAGCACGCACAAACACACAACCTTATACCTAAACTGTACACAAATGTGTATACGTAAACACGTCACACTATCGTTCATTGACAAACACAGAAGAAAGTAGCATTACACGAAGAACGAAAACAATCAAGATGAGTCATTTCCAACTATCATTATCATGACAGTCATCATTATATCAGTGTCATCAACATCATCATCAGTATTACACCGTCATTATTATCATTATAGCATAGATATTACTCCTATCATTATTACTACTATTACTATTATTATTATTATTATCACTATCATCGTCATCAACTTTGTTTACTCTGTAGACTGATTACTCTCTCTCACTCTCTAGCTACATTAGGCTATCACTTCTTACTATGTGTTTTTTTATGGTGTTGTTACTTATTGCACTGCAGCAATAAAAGATATAATACCACGCCCCAATGATGTAAATCTTTTAATTTCTTCTTTCTTTTTTTCTTGTAGACATATATATAAATTTAAAAGATATTGTTGTTGTTGTTTTTTTCTCAAATATGCATATATATTCTTTCTTCAAATGTGATAAAATAAAGAAATTATTAAGTATGTTTAGTGAATATTAAAACTTTAGATTCTGAGCTCTTCGTCTAGGGATTTGGTGGATTAACTTGAAATGTAGATTTCATCAAGAGCCAACACGTCAGTTGGCGAGATTACTGAAAACATCAGCAAGGAGCACTGAGCAGCAGTGCAACACCAATGAGACCACCATCAAGGAAAGAACCCGGGGATGTTCAGGTTATGATACAAAGGACACTGACCATTCAGTGGTGGACCCCAACTGGCCACCAGTTTTCAGGACAGTATTAGTAACGACTTTATTATAAAAATGATTACAATTATAGCTTTATTCTGGACGGTGTTTATATAATGTACAGAATTTCCAGAGAAGTTTACTGCATGATGTCTTCTCTTCATCCAGGATTTTCAGAAAAAAACATTAATTTACAGTAGATAGTGTGGCATAATGTTGCCTGGCCTGAAGCGAAAGTCAATCAATTACGATATTTCTTCTTTATCTCCTTAGGTAAATGCACGACATTTGGTTAATAGGTAATTATAAAACGTTCAGAAGTACATTTCGAGACCCAAGGGCATAACCTGGGATACTGGGATACTCAGCCCCCGATGATTATGCTTTTCCTCAAATTTGATAGAATCTTGAGAACTGGCATTTAGCAAAAATGTTGGTAGTCCAAGTTTTAAGCAGGCCGCCACCGATGTTCTACAGAATTTGCGGAATTAAAGTCTCTTTTTCCAAATGTTAATATCTGTAAATAAGATGTTTTCAAATAATTGGCACTTGTTGATTTAAAAGTTGAAATCAGAATCCGAACTGATAATAGTTACTTTCTATACGGTAGTAATGTCAAGTTTTAATCTGTTATGTAATGCATGTCACAAGTAAATTGGACAGAAAAGTACACTATGTTAGTCTTTATCAATGGAGAGGAATGCTATTTTACAAGTATGTCAGCAACTAATTTTTAGCTATAATATTACGCACATACACACACATACAACCAAGACTTCTAACAGAGGACAAAACAGAGAGAATGCAAGATTAGTTTCCAGGAGAAAAACAAAACGAAAAGCCGAATATACAAGTTGGAAATAAAAACACTCGCCAACAGTTTAATCTTTGATCTACTCCAATAATAAATATTTAATTTACATTTCCCTATAGAAATCACCGAATTGGTGTGTATTCTTTTGTCTTTGCTGGATGCAGTTACCGCAGTTCACAACACCACTGATAAAGTAAATTAGTCCTAGTCCTTCATAATTTTACAGGTGGTGAATTACTCTTCAGAATTTTTGACTGTGAGGTTCATGTAGAACTTTTGATTTAGTTATGACCAGTCATCATGTACTGGAGAAAGACCCGTAACTTGAATAGACCAACAGGTGGTTTGATAATAATGAAGGCGTTTTAACTGCATACACAGAAATCAACGTCGCGCATGTCAGTGAATACTTCGTCTTACCTCAGCTAATACAAATAAATATCGTTTCAAGTGAGATGGTTACCACACTCATCACAAGCTAGTTCCCTAAAAAATACACAGATTCGATTGTCAGTTTCCACTCAATAGAATGTTTATGCACGGAAACGTCTGAATAGTTTTGTAAGAAACAAGACCATATAGCTGAAGAGACAGTGTGCATTCTCTTTTGTTTGACGTTAAACAAACTGTGAATAGTTTCGCACTTAAAAGACGTAGGAATTTCAATCATGTGAGGCAACTTTGCATATCTAATCATCTATGTCTCCATTAAATTGCGTGCGTCCGATGGCAACACCGTATGAGCCTGTGTTTCGACACGGTAGAGATCACCGTTCATTGAGTGTTGTCACCTAGAAACAGTGGCTTAGTCATGTCCTACGAATCCGATTCCAGAGGCTTCCGTACCAGTGTCTGTTCACTAACTCTAAGAGTGTACGGAAAAAGTGGAGAGGTGATCAGCCTAGTGATGTGGCGTCATGGGGTGAAGAATATTTGTGCTGAGTTGGCGTTATTTGGTACAGCATGACAACTCTGTGGTTGGGGTCCGAGAGATATTTCGAATCGGTGGCTTGAGACGTGATTATATATGACGAAGAATCACAATCAGTGGCGAACATGTTGTAACTTCCTTTCTTCTTCTCTCTCTATCTCTGAAAGTACCATGAGGCAACGAATATTGAATTAACTTGGTAAGTAGGCTTTCTTGCTTTGTGGATGACATCGGTTATTGCCTTGTATCCTGTTTTGTTATTGTGATGTGGCTCTTCTTTCCTGCTTTCCATATTGTACGAAGTTTGTATTTTAAATAATATAATAATACATATGCAACTAAACTGTACAATCTGGAAAAGTATCTTATGCATCTCAGTTAATAATGTTTTATAAAATTAGAGTTAACCAACAAAGTTAATCCAAGACATTCTAACCGGTAATTTTTCGGATCATGCAACTACAATGAGATGTCACAGGACAAGAATAAATGTCATCAAGTGACTAAAAAAGTTTTTAAAAAAAAGGTTGAATACATAACTGACTACAGTTGCTCTAATCGAAATGGTCTTATCTCAAAGAGTTCAGTCTCTGATTCTAAATAAGACTTAGATGAGGTTAAATGTTTCTTTCACACTAAAAAGATTTGCTCCACAGTTTTTAATGATGGCATGTAAAAAAACAACGGGCAGTTAGATTGTTATCTAAATACTTTCCCTTCGCATCTGTAAGTACAAGTAACGTGAAATGGAAAGCCTCAGCATACCAAAAATTCAGGGGGAAATAGAAATTCGATGGATATAAGCTATGGGTTAACTGCTAAGTCCGCTGCTTGCACATTTCTTCATGTCAAAAATGGAAAACACACACCTAAAGAAAATAATTGACACCTTTGGGTTTTAAAAGAGATAAGTGGATGATACTTTCAGTATCTCCAGTAATGAGGAGAATTCGGAAGACATCCTCGAGTTTTTCATCAGCTCCTACCCTGTAATCCAGTTGATTCCTAGAGAAGAAGTCCAACTCAAAAATATCTTTTCTGGACGTTCAGCTAACAAGACAGGAACAAGATGAAACATTAAAAATATCCGTCTATAGAAAGCTGACATGAAATTGATAACTGGTTAACTTTCATAGTTGGGTGTCTCTATTATAAAACGAAACCTGCTCCGTCCACTGAGCCGCAGAATGCACAACATTTGCAGCCCTGACACTACGGACGAGGGGCTGAACACTCTAAAGTGAATCCTACCCTGAACGCTTCATCAAAAAATCCATGAAGTCTAAACCACTATAGCCACCCACACTTTCTGCTCCTAAAAGACTTCTTTATCCGAATCTACAATCCAATGCAGACTCAGTCAGAAATACTGAGAAACCGCCTTTGCTACCCAATGAAGAAAACCTTCTTCGTGGCTGAGATTCAACTAACTTTCTCCACAATACCAGTGATTCGCAGGAACGTAAACGATAATCTACCACTTCTAGCCTTATCGATTTACCTTCTCGTGTGGAGCTGAGTATGTCAGCCATACCCAGCGTTTGCTGTCCAAACGTATCATCGAACACTTATCCTCATGATTTTAGAAACCAGGAAAAACACTCCTCCCCCGTCGCAGATCTATCCTGGAACATCTGATCGAATCTGAATATCAAGCTAATCCACAAACCAACTTCATAGTCATTTGCAGAATACGCGGGAACCTTGCTAGATGGAGTACGAATCAAACTTCTTTAAACCACAGAAGCAATGGCAATTCACGTATTAAATCCTGAACTCTGCTTACAGAAGAAGTTTGTCCAGTCGCTAAATCTATAATGGACCTAATCTGTCTGTTTTTTGTTCTTTTCTAATTTTACTACTCTCTTTTCCCCAACCCATATTAAATTTCTAGCCCTTATTACCACTTTTGTTAACGTGACTCTCGTTCAATTTTAGGTGAGTTCTGCTCAATTTCATCGATTATATTACGTCACTCAGTTTACTTATTTAATTTTAAGTATTGGTTTGCAGGGATTTTGTTTGACTGGTTGGAGGATTTCTTCATGAGCTGACATCAGTTAGAGAACCATTGGAAAACCTGCAGGGAGTACTAGACAGCTGCTTCGTCAGCCCAGTTTGCGACTCTTCATCAGCACGCACCCACCGGGGTCTATTCTAATTTCTACCCGATTTACCTTATTTGTTACATAAAATTTACAATTCTAATGACCCATCTTTGGGAATATTCCTTTTACTGGTAAGAAAATTTGCCATGCACATATGCGACTGTACAACATACTAATGATCTCGCTGAAAAGGGTAACTCTTCCCTGAATGTCTTTTCTCGTATACGACGACTCAACGGAGATTTTGAAGTTGCACAGAAATAATTGATGAACGGACAGTAGATATTCACTCGTACAAACACAATAAATGAATAAATAAATAAGTTTATAAATAAAATAGATAAATTAACCCAACAGTAATAAGTACTACTTACAATACAGGTATATCGTCGGTATATAACTTTTTCGGTGGGAAGGCTGAATCCGCATCTGCATCCGGACGAGTACTATTGTTACTATTATTCATAGTCACCGAATTGTTTCCATTCTCCAAATCATGATAAGCATTTGGACTAATTTTAAAACGATGCTGAGTCCCATACATTGTCAGTGTTGAACCATTCGGGGATGCACAAGTGGAATTGGAATTCTAAAAATAAAAAAATAATAAAAAAACAATCATGAAACGAAATGTGAAGATCACTTTACTTTCACATTTCAAACTTCAATATTATTGATTATCATTTCATAGATATCAGAGAGTACAGTTAGGCTCCACAGATGAGGATGCCACTCAGCATAAACAAAAAATTCGGATTTTCAACACCGAAGTCAATTCAGTCACTTCTTCTATATGGGTCAAAAACTTGGCCTTATCACCCCGAAAAGCATTTCAACAGGAGGCTTCAGATTTTTATCAACAGCTGCCACATCCGCTGGATCTAAACTGAAGGTTAGATGGCTGGCAGGGAAGAATTAACAGCAAGAAACTGTGAGAAGGAACCGACCAATAGCCTACTACTCAACAAATATTTAGGAGGAAACAGAGATTTACCAGATACACGTTGAGTAACATCCCGCGCTGGGTCATTGATCGAATAGAAGCCGATTGGGAAACGACCAGTCGGTCTTTAGTCCGAGGTGAAATTGGAGAGATCAGGTGAGGAGAAGATGAGAGACTATGGGCAATTGTGGAGACCGCTGAAGAGGATTGCAAGGAGCAGAACAAAGTGGAGATGTTCAGTTAAAGGCCAAGACAGTAATAATAAGAAGAGACTACACTTATCATTGACAAAATGACTACAAATATTCAGGGGTTGTGTTTTATTCAAGAATATTGTTCATACACTCCCGTATTATCCAATTCTTAAAATATGGGGATAATTGTCCACCTTCCAACGTATTTCAGTGAACCGAAAATACATAACCTGTTGGACAGTGTAGTGCACCTATATGCATGAACTTTTGTGTCAGTTTTTCTTCTTTTTGTATTCAACGAGCAAACAAACAAAAAAACTGTTGTAACGCATCTTCAAGTGTTTTAAGTTTTGTTTTAATAGGCTCAATCGCGATTTTTGCGTTCCTTCCTTGTGCTGTCAACATACACACACACATTCCCTGAGTCGATAGTTCAGCCATATCAGCTAGATAAGTTCTGGATCCTTTTCGCCGAATAATCTTGACTATTTCTTTTTATTCAGATATACTGCCTGTCAGAGCACACTACTAATTAACTGAGTCTTTTTTGTTTGTGTTTTGTGTTGTAAGCCTTCCAAGTTAAGTGCAGTACTGATTTATTTGGTAATTAGGCAAATTATTGTTGAGTAAGGGCTTGTATAGTGTAGTTAACTAATAGCACTAGTATTATTAATTCCCTTGGCTTCCGAGTGGAACACAGGGATTTAAAAGCACACTTCCGTTTCGTCCCTTTCCCTGGATTCCTCTTCAGCTGGCTCCGCGATCGCCCATATGCTTTCATCTTCTCCTTACAAGATCACTTCCTTGTCACCCTTGGACCAGTGACCAACTCAATGATTTCCATTCAGGTTCTGCTTGAGGGCCTGAATTACGCGTGATATCATTCAACCGTCTCTTGAAAGTGATTCCAATAAATCTAAATTTTCTTTTACATATTCCCTGAGCAATAGGTTCTTGATTTATTAGTTCCCACAGTTTCTTCTTATTAATTCTTTCTCACGTTCAATTACCAGTGTATGCAAAATTTATCTAAATATTTGAAACATGCCTCTTATAGATACTGGCATACAATTTGAAAACAATACTGAATTTTAGAACAAATGTATCATTATGACAAGGTGAACTGTAACAATCATGACTAACCCATTAGATTGCTTGAAAGCATTGTGGAAAGCGCCTGCCAGCTGAGTTGATTGACATTATCATGCTAACGCTAAAACAAAGTCTTAGAAATTCTAATTTTTTTATTCCTTTATGTTCCCAGTGGAAAATAAGGCTTCAAGTTAGACGCTTGAAATCTCGGTAGCAGTGGTGTTTCTTTTTACGGGATTGGAATGTCAGCCTCATACCCAACCTACCGTCGTTACCAGTCTTATTAAAGACTTAGCGAGGTAAAGGAGTGCGTGGGCGGCCTGGGATCGAACCCCAGACCACATGAGGCGTGTTTGGCGAGCATTCTACAGCTGTGCCACCGACGCACAGAAACTCTCACAGGCCTATTTATAAAATAACATCATCTCATTGCAAGGGACTTTAGAATTCTTTATGAAATATCTTTCCATCGACTTTGTGTTTAACCGTAGTGCTGGAATGTTGGCCATGAAAGTCACTAGTCTTTATGAGCACCAACGCTAGATCTGTGCCCTGAGATAGCAGCATTGTAAGATTTTTCATGGAAAAGCTTCTCGCTAAGAGAATTAAATCTGTAAAGTGTTCCAACTATACCTCATCGAACGCTCTACCGCTCTTCAGGTAAGATAAATACGCACAGACTGTTTCGAAACCTCATTTTGTTTGCTATTCCAACCAATGTATACTGAGGAAAATTGTTCAGTGATTGGCTTTCTTTTGAAATAACAAGATAATCTTTCTCGTTAAATACTAAAATTCGATAGTCTTGTGGCCGTCAGACGCACAGAAATATTCAAACATCCATAACTTGTGTGTACCTTCCTTTTGTCTCGTGAAGTGTAAGTATTACAGTAAAGTTTTATACTGTATATTCTCAGATAACGTTATTACTTTAATACTTTTGGTGACTGTATCATACCAACTGGATGATTCCCCGACATCAGTCATGATTAGTGGCTACATAATGCAGAAAATTAGTGCAATGACGAAACATAGCTAAGAACCACGTCGTTCTGCTTTTTATTCCTAGTATACTCTATACCCTAAATTTTGCGATCCATCTGACCTGAACTTCGTTTGGATGTCCGTATATTGTAGGTTATTCGTGAGATGTTACACACGTCATGACATCAAACACAGCTCAAAGGTTCGATAAGTATTTTTTGTTCTAAAACACAACATATTTGGATGACATACACCATGCTGTCAGAATCCGGATTTTTCTGTAGTATTTGATACAAACGAAGAGTTTCCAGCTTGAAATTATTCTCTTTTCAAGGATTATATTGAACAGCTACAATTTTTTATGTGAATACCAATATACTACTCACGCAAATCAGTAGTTTCACCACTCACATCCAGATTATCTACAACTGCTTAAGGGTTGTAACTAGATGATTTTACTGGACTGAGTGAATACTTTGGAAAGAAAAACCTTTGGTCCTCACTTTTAATTATTCGTATGATGTGTCTTAGTGATTGGATCACATAGAGTCCCTTAATTTCTGTTTCTAAAGGCTGTTTACCATTTCTAATGTAAAAGACTGATTAATGAATAAATAGTATTATTTCCGATAACTTCATCATCAGCTTCTACGTGTATGCGACGATAATTAATTCAAGAAACATTGTTATTAACAGCTTTAATGCTGTTTAAAATCACATTAAATCAATAGTGTTGACAGGTTACATTTCAAAAGCATCAGTACGAGACAGATAATATTGATTATTATAACACTACACCAGTTGAATATCACATAGATTAAGGGAATTAACATGCAGAATTAATGAATTTATAGGTTCGACGGTAGGCCAGGGTAGAAACACTGGCTGTCTGGACCTGTTTCTTGTGTACACATAGTTCTGGTTTATTTAAGCGAATTGTGACAACCTTCCCTGTTCGCAGTGTTCGGTACGCGATAGATGATAGAGAAAGATTCTTCAATGCTAGCTAACTTTATGGCCTATTTGGACGGGGTGATCTAATACAGAATTTTCGACGGATTTAACAAAACCTTTATTTAGCCGCATTGGTAGGTGTTCCTGAGGTCGGAACATTAAGTTCCTAGAGCAATGGTCAATATTACTGGTTCCGCAGGAGCAATTCAATCGATACATACAGTTGGAGGTGGCTAGTCTACGTACTCCATCTTTCAGTTTCAGAACTGCAACAGTTTATGTGGAAAATATAATCCGCCGATACAAGTGATTCAGTATAATTTATAAGCTTTTAAGTCAGAATTTTGAAACGGAGTTTTCAGGTGTTCATTTGTAGGTAATTCAGTTGATTTCAAGATAGGTTTTGTCACCAAGTGACGCATCAATTAGGGAATCACCGGAAATCAGAGAGTAGTAGATACCTTTTACCTCCTAGTGGGTACCTGAGTACTCACTGTTGAAGAGTTCTAAAGTAGGATGAAACAGATAACCAATGCTCCACGAATCTCAGTGAATCATTAGTAATGTAGTCAATCTTGAAACCTTCTGTACTGTGAAATATTCAACCAGATTGGTTGATTTCTGCTGGTATGATTTTCTCCCACTGATCAATAGGGGGAGATACTAAATCTTTTAGGGAAGAATTCTAATACCTCAGGTGTTGATGCCTAGAATCACAGAGAAGAATCTAATATCAGAACACTCAACTCAGGAGATGTGAAACAACCTATAGAATTTCACAAAAATCGTTCGAGATTTTGTGAATTGTGAGCACACACATACACAAAATCAGTCCACCTTACTTCGCATTATCAACAGAATTTTTAAAAAGATTACACTTGTTGCGCATAACTAATAAGCGAATGATTTCCTCTGTATACTTTTATTTTATTTTATTTTTTATTTTGATTTACAGCTTGTGCCACACCGTATTTTCAGTACAAGTGTGGAATTTTCAGCATGGATATCGGTAGCCCAAATTCAGGCCGACCATAGATATCGGGTGTGCGCCGGCAGGGGATCGAACCCCGGACCATGTGCATGGTCGGCGAGAGTCCTAACCACTGTGCCACCGACGCACTGAACAACTGATGTAGAAAGATGCGTTCTCATAAAACTACTATTCCACAGTCAACAGGGAACAACTTCGATTTTTCTTTTTGTTTCTGTTAAGTCAGTTTTTCTATATGGGTCAAAAACTTGGCGTGAGTGTCAACAAAAACTCCCAAAAAGCTACTGGCTTGGCTTCATATTAAAGAGCAAATGGTCAGAAAGAATTGGAAACAAGAAACTCTGGGAAGCAACTAACCAACCAAGAACCTATCACTCAAAAAATATGCTGAAGGAAGTCGAGATGAATTGGACACATGCTGAGGAGACCGTCGGGTGACATCATGCACGAGGCCATCTCTTGACTGGAACCTGAATGAAAAACGACGAGCCGGGTATGTGTCAGAGGTTGATGTAGAGGAGATGGTGTGAGCAGAAGATGAAAGCTTCTGGGCAATAGTGGAGCCAGACGAAGAGTACTGTACAGCATGGGAGATGTGCTCAGAATAATAATAATAATAATTCCGTTTACCCAAAATGTTAGCCAATCATTATGTAGAATTTCAAGTATCACTCACATCCACGCTGGCCTATATTCGAAATTGTGGACATAAATATGTGGTCATGCAATTGCATAAGTCACTGTATATAGTGTGTGTGTGTACTGATTAACTGGACATTAGGACTGTGCCCTACTATCTGATCAACCCTAGTTACATGGTATTCTCCACTGAAATAGTGATGATTGATAACTCCTCTGCATATGTGTTCTTAATCACTAAATTCAAAATGATATCGGCGCTTATACGCAAACCAACAAACAAGTACTGACATGTTCGATTCAACTATCGAATATTACTTACTGATTCGCATACATCACTAGTGCAACTGACATATACCTGCCAGTATGAATGTGTATACAACATTGCGAAACAAATTTTAAACAACTACCGAAGCAACAACAAAAAACAAAACAAACGAAAACAAAATTATTCCAGTTAAATTTTTGACACATACTCACGAATATTAACAAACGAAAAAACGAATATTCATTGTAGCAGATAGACAACCAACATATAGATGTTGGCCACGAGTTGACATTAGTTAGAGAGCCATCAGAAAACCAACAAACAGTACTGGACAGATGTTTCGCCATAGTCTGGGACTCCTCATCAGTATACATGCACCGACTGAGGTTCCGAACCCAGGAACTTCTGTTAACCATTTTTACCAACTGGGACTCGATCCGATAGCCTACGACAGACAGGTACTTCGCTGTAAACCCAAGTGTGACTTTTTCAGCAATTACCTAATACGGAGCATAGATTTATGAGGTATTTTTTCAGTTGAGGGGGAAATCAAACAAGCTCAGGCGGCAGGGTGGGGGCGGGCACCGATAACAAACATAAAAATAAAAAGTTTAAACGGCATTACTCACCATAGTATTCATAGTATCCATTGTCGTTGTACAATCTGCTGTAGTTGACAATTCATTCACATTATTGCAGACATTATTTGTATGCGGCGTTGTAGCCACAATATTATGATGATGATTATTGCTGCTGCTGCTGCTATTTGTACTGCAAATATTACTGTCGGAAGTGATCACTGTTGTATTCGTGTTATGATTATGTAAATACTGGGAATTAGATAGACTTGTATAATCATCCATGCTATCAGAGAGCATATTTACAGATCGACAAGGGATTGACTCAGTTTCATTCATTAATAATGTAATATTCATTATAAATTTTTATTTATTTATTTATTTTGTGTTCTATTTATTTATTCGCAATGAAAGTACAGCTGTGTTGTCTAAACTACCAGGGTAATATACTACTGTTGAAATGATCACTACAAGATTGTTTTATATCCACTTTTTATTGTCCTTTCGGAGTGTGTAGATTAAGTTACAACTGAGAAATTATTGTACACACACACTATTAATATTATCATTATTAATACTAAGCATAATCATCATGATAATCGTATTGGAAAAAAAAGTTTTTAGTTGATGATAGGAAGTTTTTTTCAAGATGGTGGTGGTGGTGTGGTACAGGGTATGACAATTTATTACTTTTTTCTCTGTGTGTGCTTGTGAGTGGACGAAGACGATGAGAAAGTTTCCTTCTCCCTCTCCCTCTTTCTCTACTCACATCTCTCTTCATGTGTCTTTTTTCTACCTCTGACATTTATGATATTTAATATATACATATATAAAATGTACACACGCACTCAGTGTTTAGTCTTCAAAATATTACATGACCTGTGGACACATTGACCAGAACGACTACAACAACAACAACAGCAACAACGATGACCAACAACAACACCAACAAAAATAGAAATTAAAACTGAAAAATTATGATTCTTTTTTAACTGGTAGAGAGACACAGGGGGACACTTACTATTCTTACTATTGAATAATTTGATTATTAAAGTCTGATAAGAGGACGACACATACACACACACACGCGCGCACACACCCACGCATATAGGCACAAGGACAAAGAGAAAGGTTGAAGATGAAATAATTTGCGGTTCTAGGGTGGTGGTGGGGTGTCAGCGAGAGAATAGAAACGATTAATATTAGTACTTTAATGTAGCTCATAGTTAGTTAGTAGGTTAGTTAGTTAGTAAGTTATCAGTATTGTACACGTACACTGACATATACACATTTCTGTCAATTTAATAAGTAACAATATTTACAATACCACATGTGGATCAGTAAACACACACACACGCACATGGTTGTACAAATATTGACGCACGCACACACACACAAACACAGAGACCATAAGTGTAAATATAAACATGATCTTAAGTTGATCAACCTATCCATAACCGCTTTATTTTTTCTAAATGGGCAATTGAATCAATTACTCCTCAGTGGGTTTTGTGCTCATGATATTTTCTGTGCATGCACACCAATGCCGCTTACTGTGCACAATATATTTAATTGATCTAAGGTGTGTGTGTGTGTGTGAATGAGATGCGGTATTGTGTGCATACAAGGAAGCTAGGTAGGTTTAACTCTACTACTACTAGTCAAATAATATTGTCCACTGTCCCTCTCAACTCTGGACAACAGCTGTGAAAAGAGACCTGATGGTAAACCGAACAGTATTCATAGTATAATCTATAGTGAGATATATGGTAGATAATTTGAAATAGAACATATACCTTATAAAACAAACTAGATCATGGTGTTTGTGTAGAAATGAAAAAGGTAAAAGGGAATGTACGTACAATATTAAGAGAGTATCAATACTAACAGCAAAAGCGTAACAAAAGCGGTGTAATTTCACCACCCACCCTCTCCCACCCCAATTAAATGGCGTTTATATGCTTCATGCATATGTTTGTAAACCAGTAGTTCATGTTGTGATACATCTGAGTCATTCAATATGTTTTACTTTCAATTATTAATTTTCATGTGTTGTGTTCTCGACTTCGCCGATGATATATGTTTGATTTCTCACAAACTGGAAGATATGCAAGTGGAAAGCAACAAGTTGGCAGAACAAGTATCCAGGGAAGATAGGCCTTCAGGTGGACATAGAGAAAACAGAGGTGATAAAGATTACTGGCCAACACCAACAGCAACAGACAACAATTAGCCAGCATAAATGGGAGAAATCTGGAAGAAGCAATCTCCTTTATCCACCTACCTTGGAAGTATCGTTTCAACTATAGGCGGCCGGAACTGATGAAGATACCAAAGCGAGGATCATCGGGAAAACAAGGCAACCTTTCATTACTGTCAAGTCTGTGTGGAGAGATCAACAGCAATCGGCATGAAAAAGAAGATCCGGATTTTCAACTCCAATGTGAAGTCAGCACTACTTTATGGATCAGAGACTTCGCGCCGCGTCATGAAGAGCACTCCAAACAAACTACAAAACTTCATCAACAGCTGTCTTCTCTCGATACCACTCAAGATCAGATAGTTGGCCAGAAAAGATCAGCAACCGGGAACGATCTATGTCAACGAGCGAACCAACCCCGCAGGGACCAATTGTGCAACAAATGTGCAGGGAGGAATGGAGGTGGAACTCGAATGGGGAGCAGCGAGTTGGTTATCAGTGCGAAGGTGCTATGGAGGAGGTCATGCGAAGAGGAGATGAAAGCATGTGAGCGGACGTGGAGCCAGGTGATGAAAACGTTGGCAGACGACTGAATGCAATGGAGACATATGGCTGAAGCCCTATGTTCCTCTAGGAACTAAAGGAAACAATAAAAATGTGTTGTGTTCTATATAATCAAAGATGCACTTGACACGTGTGCGATTCCCAATTGAGACAATCTTAAATCTGGCTTAGTTTACTAGTCGACAGTAAGTTTGGGGGAAACTAAGGTACGGTTGGGTCTGAGGGTAGCGACCCCAACATGTAGGGAAAAACGTGAATACTTTAAAGGTGAGGCATGTAAACATAAAATCGGTTTCATTAAATTCACTTGTATATTGAAGGGAATGAAATTAGTGTAACACAAAATTGGTTTGGAAAATCTCCTCCGAACGACTTAATTACAATATTCAGACTCATCTAGATATTCCAGCTAACTTCGTAATCATTTTCCTCTTTTCTCCTACACTACATATCACTGTTTTCCCATCTGTATATCACATGTTGACTCATTCCTTGTTATTCGCTCTACCACCTCTTTAATCTCTAATTTTAATGCTTCTCTTCTTGGTTCTGTGACCATATTGATAACGTGTTTCTTACGACTGCGATATTGTTTGCGTGAATGAAGGCCAACCTGACCTTAGACTGTCTTCGAGCATTGCCTCGTGTGTGAGTCCTTTAGACAGAGATGTTGACCACACCCTGTTGGGAATATTCTACTCGATTCTCAGGTAATTCGTACAGTTGAATACCGATTAACTGGATTTTCTCTGAAGTGGTACTTGTTTTGTGCTTAGAAAGCTACCTTGTCTGTATAACTGTGTGACGGCACTGTAGAGGTAATTTTGAGTTTTCACATGTTATTATTGTTGAACAGAACCACACATAGATTCCTATCAAAAACGATCATCTGTATGTTGTGTTTGGAGCATTTTGTGACTGTACGTGACTAAAAAAAGTTTTAGAAATCCATACAGTTGGACGCATAGATTGGTTCTCCGTATTTAAGCGTCAGCTAGTCTCTTTTGGTCTCTACTCTTTTTTATTTCTTTACGTTCCCAGTGGAACATAGGGCTTCAAGCTAGAGGCTTGAAGTTTCAGTAGCAGTGGTGCTTATTTAAACGGGATGGCGTTGCTTGCCTCATGCCCAACCTTCTCTCTTTACCAGTCTTATTACTGACTTAGCGAGGTAAAGGAATGCGTCGGCGGCCGGGGATCCAATCCCGGACCATATGAGGCGTGGTTGGCGAGAATTCTACCTCTGAGCCACCGATGCACGGTCTCTACCCTTAGACTACCTTAACTGTAGTCAAATAATCCCAATTCAGTGACTGATATTCATCACTATTAATTACTAGCGTAGGCTCATTGATGGAAATAATCTGCTAAATAAGAAAGGAGAATGCATTAGGTTAAACTGTTGTGACAGCAGAAGGCAAGACACGGAAGCCAACGTATATTTTCAATTGATCAAACCACCATTTATAATATACACAGTTTTATATTCTTTAACCAGTCACTCAGATTGTGACTTTGGTTTACAATAAACGAAATGAAATAGAGTGTTCACATACATATATATTATTCTGTTGCTAATGTAGTGTTGAACTGTGGGAATATGTGAGAGTAATATTCCGTTGGAACCAATTTTTCGGTATCACACCATCACACTGTGAATATAACCGTAAATATCTTTTATTGAAGTGAAAGCCTTTAGTTGAACAAGAATCAACAATTTAAAATGAAAGGTTTTAGGCTTGATTCTAAGATGCGTTGTGGACTTACTTGTTCTGCCACGGTGTTCCACCCCCCCTCTCGGGGTGATCATGTCTGCCAAAATGAATTACTGAGTAATGAATGATGAAAATGCCAGTGAAACTCATTAGAATGTTGTTTTTTTTTTCACCACTTAACATGGACTGCTTCTAAGGATGGAACAAGCGAAAGACGAGAGCATCCATACTTATTGACATACTTTAAAGTACTTGTACTTTATTAACTGTTCTAGGTCGCGTACTATTCACCTTTCAATAGGCAGTTATATTCATTTAGATTTGACCTAGTGATGAATTATGTATCTCACAAATAAAACATGATGTGATATCAAAATTAAGTCAGGTGTTTGTTTTATAACTAAAAGTGGTCATTAACTGAGGTACTTACGAAATTACTCATTGTTAATCCAATTTTTAATTTTCTTTTTGATTGGCTAGATCTAAATGTTCGGTCTCTGCTGACCCGTCAGCTTCTTGTGTGGATGTTTTTACGATGTCCGAGGGATAAAAATAAATAATAACTGATACCCGTTTCACAAGAGGCGGTGGCTATCGTCGCCCAAGCAATCTAATGGATAACACTTTGGCATTTGAAATGATGGGTATAAGGTTCGAGACCCAATGGGAACACCGTCACTTACTGGGGCACGCGGTCATATGCGGCTGATGAAATGTTCATCCTGGATTCCAGTGCTAATTACCATCCGCCAAATTACTTCCAATATTCACCGAACACGAATTCTGGCAATGAATGTCAGTGTTAGTTTGAAAGGATTTGACTGGTTTGAAGTTGAATCACGGATTGACATTAGTTAGTGAGTCATTAATTCTAGCTTCCTGTAAGCTGACGTTCCTGGGTTCGTTCCCCAGTGGAGTCATTAGTGCGTACTGATTGACCGCTTTCAACGTAGAACTTTGCACAGATGTGCAGCAGTTCAGTTTGCCACACTCCGTCCATGTAGCAGACAAAGCAAGATAAGAGAGTAAAGAGAGATTCAAAAGAGAGAAATATGGGACAAAAACAA